GTTAATCTATTTGTTACTTGATGTTTGACGGTTCAGTGTCACTCATCATGTTTTGGTTTTAACATACATACATACATACATACATACATACATACATACATACATACATACATACATACATACATACATACATACATACATACATACATACATACATACATACATACATACATACATACATACATACATACATACATACATACATACATACATACATACATACATACATACATACATACATACATACATACATACATACATACATACATACATACATACATACATACATACATACATACATACATGTATGTATGTATTAATAATGTTGAAGCAACACATAAACAAATGCAAATGAAATTAATATCATTCAATATACATATAAACACATATGAACATAACACACGCACACACAAACGTGTGCAATACATGTTCTTAAATATAACACATATAAATGTATAAATGGATGCTAAAAAATAGCTGGTTCAAAATTAACTAACTTCCGCTTATTTACGCCTATATAAGGAGAACGTTTGAAAATAAATTACCTAAAGAATGAGATAAGAAATATTTAAAACTCGAAAATAATTTTGTTTACACGCAAAAGTATCAAGACAAAACAAAATAGACATTGCGTATTAACATCAGCCTTTCAAGCATTAGAGCGTTCGACAATAAAACAAAATGAAATCAATAAACAAACGATCGTGCTATGTGCTGGGCTTCGATTTCGAACAAAAATTTACTAATTTTATTTCAAAACTTAATAAAATTTTCTTTAATTTTTCTTCCAACGTATGCGGTAACAGTGGTCACGTCGTCATAAGCTTTCTATTTTAACTTTTTTTGGGTACTTTCAAAATAAAAACAAGATGGCAATATATCTGTATATAACTTCCCATTCAGAAAATTTTATTTACACGTCAACGTGACGTCATTACTTTCAAATCTCTAACACTCACAATCAATTGTACAATATTTGCACCAATGTAATTGGAAAAAAGGGATGCTAAATGTTACATTCAATAATCTTGAAAATTCTTATGATTAATCTTTTGCCTTTAAAATCATCTTCATGTTGTTCGTTAAAAATCCTAATTTTTAAGAGTATCGAAAAGAAATCAAACCGCACAAGATTGGCGTAAACATTGCATTAAAATACAATTTGACAATCTGCCGGAGAGAATACTGTTTGGTCTGTTTATACCACAGTATATATATATGACGTGCGTTGAGATACATGGACTCTAAAGTAAATACAAAAGCTTTTCAGAAGCTAAACGTCAATCAAAGAGACGTGGAAGGACATGGACAGAATGCATGGTATACTTCCACAATCGCAAAATACACGTTTGGTTTAGAAAAGAAAGTAAAACTTTTTGACATTTGAGACAGGTAACGTAATTTTTTTTTTATGTATACATTTGTACATACTGGTTTAATTTTTTAATAGTTTCATTATTTCATAGCACGTTGCCACATTTTGTACTGTCGTCAGCGCATCAATCATCCAGCAGTACTGAGCACTGCATACAAATGTTATGCAGGGTGGGAGCACTTGAGCTGTCGATTTGTGCATGTCAAGTACAATTTCGGCATCTTTATTACGCTGCATTTCCTTGCACTCAACTGTCAACGCGATGAACATTTGTTATCTTCTAATTAGTTTGTTGATGAAATCAATAATTGTGTTTGCGTTCAAATGAATAGAACAACGAAGGCAATTTTTATAACGAATCAATAGAACATCTTGCCACAACATGATAAACATAAACATACGTAATTAACAGCAACAACAATGCGATGAATAACCCACAACAACGATTGTTTCGGAAATTCTTTCACGGGGATTGCGTGCACGCATCTTGTACACACGTTTTCACGTCAGTTCGTGCCTTCACTCATACAACGCGTGTGTACATGGGCTGGCAGGCTGCACAATTCCATTGTTATTTCCTTCATTCCTTCTTATGCTCGTCAATGTTCATGCTGTCATTTTTATATTTCTCTGCCTATTGCTTTTTCGATTTTCCAGCTGACTTCATTATTTAAAATGACGCTTAAGAGCATTTTCAGTTTGGAAAATCTGCTGTTGATAAACGCAGTTGAACATTTTTTAAATTTACATAACGATTAAGTGAGATAATAAAAATTAAAATATTCATTTCTTGATGAAGTTTTAATATTTAAAACGAATAAAACCAACTATACTTTTATTATAACCAAATTTTTACATAAATGACGTACAAAATAATTTTTACATAAATGACAAATAATTAAATAATGTTTTAAATAAAAAATGTTTTGATATATTTTTATTTAAAACTAACTTTGAAATTTTGCTAAACGTTGAAAAGTTATAAATTTTATGAAAATTTATTTCAGATAATTATTTGAACATTTGAATGTTGTAAATGTTACTATCTTTACAATCTAGCAAGAGACTAAATATTTAGAGTCTACATTTTTTATTTACAAAAACCTTTTAGTTTTCCATACATTTGCGTTCATTGTACTCTTAGTAGTATATATATATATTTGTGTACATAATATCGTGAACGAAACTGTCGTGAACGAAACGAATTTTGTTTTTGTTCGGTTTAATTCGTGTATTAATTTTGTTTTGTCTTAAATTGTTCTTAATCTTCGAACAAAATGTCAGACATTGAAAAAGCGAATGATATTAAGGCCGATAGACTTTCTAGATTACGAAATCTACATCTAAAAATGGTTAGTAAGTAGAGTCAGTCAGTAGAGTAGTTAGTTAGTTAGTTAGTTAGTTAGGAATATTGTTCACTTTAACAACTTTTAGGCAGAATTTTTTGCAATTGGTAATCTAAATTATTATGTATGTTATTATTATCATTATTATTATAGAAAAGAACTAAAAACTAAGCTGTTAGTGTTGAAGAAATAAAATGTTAAAAAAAGATACAGATAGATAGAGGATAGGATAGGATGAAGGAGTAGTTGATATTTATTTATTTTTTATTTTAATTAATTTTTTCACTGAAATTTTGTTAGCAGGTGGTCTAGTTATTATTGCCATTTCAATTAATTTAATTTTAATAACCAGAAATTATTACATATAACAGTAAAATAAACTAAATTTGAAAATATTAACTATGAGTTTTGAATTAACTTTCAATTTAGAGCTCTTATAGATTTATACTAATCTTGCTTACTTTGTTTAATTAATAAGTTAAAATATTAAAAATTTAAAATTGATTTTTTTTGTTTCATGCTTGCCTTGAACTTTTTATTTTATATAATAATTATTTCATCAAGATAAGGGTAATTAATTTATAGAGATATACCTTACAATATAATTATCTAGTATATGATATTACTTTTGTTTATGTCTTTATGAACAATTTTTTACATAAATGAATATATATAAATGAATATACTTACACCTATATAAATTTATCAATTATAAATTTTTCAAAAAAGAATGAAGCTAGAAAGATGAATAACCAAGAAGTCATGGAAGAGGATCGCAAGTCGAAACTACCTGCAAACTGGGAGGCCAAACAATCAAGGGTCGAATACGAAGAAGAGCAGGAGAAACTCAAGAAGGTTTCTCGCTTCTTCCCACTTGCTCTACATTCTTATTATATATTATGTTCTATAATTCTTTGGTTCTCTTGCTTACTGTGTTAATTACTTTTTGTAATTGTCATAGGAGAAAAGAATAAAAATAAATGAGTAGTTGTTAATCTTAATATGCCTATTGAAATTTTGAAATGTGCATGTATTTATACTTGGCAGGAACTGGAGGCACGTGGTGAGGATTACAACATTGTGAAGATGAGGAACTGGACGGCTGAAGAGGTTGAACACTGGGAGAGGAAGAAGAAGAAGAAAAATCCGGATACAGGATTTGCTGGTCAGTTGGTTGGGTGATTGATTGGTTGGTTGGTTGGTTGTTTGGTTGATATCATCTTACATTTTTCTGTTGATTATATATGATTAAAATTTTTGATTTTATTTGCTTTTTTTCACTAATACTTGTATTTTTATAATTTTTTCATAATATTACGCCAGTTGGTTACAAACAATATAATAGCTTATTTTTGACATTTAATTTCAGATTTTGAGCAAGCTTCGTATCGACAGTATCAAAGGTTGACGAAGCAGATGAAGCCTAATTTGAAAGAATACACTGAGGAGAAAGAAAAACTGTTAGCATGGTTTCTTTTATGTTTCATGTTTAAATAAATTGATTGACACATCTTCAATTTTTAATTCCATCTTTCACGTTTTTGAAACAGTTGAAAATCTGCTTCGTTAACATTTTAGTTTTATTTTAGTTGCTTCCTATTTTGGCATTCTCAAATGAATTACACAAACACATATTGACACATCAAAAACTCAGGCACATAGCAGTTGCAATCAAAACAACTTGATCTATCGGGCTGACATGTTTTAACGCATTGGTAAATGAATCCACTAGAATAAAATTTTCATAAAAATTAAATTAAATTATTTGTAGTGGCGAGGAGGTCTTTTACGCAGGCACAAACACCTTGGGGACAACAGAACACAAGGACACTCCCGAAGCCATCAGTCGGATGGTTGAAGATCTAGACAAACAGTTGGTTTCGTTGTTCTGCCTTTCATTTGTTTCAATTTACATATTCAAATTTAACATTCAGTCGTTTATTATAGAGTGAGATGATGTGTTGTTGTGTTTTCGTTATTGCAAGTTGTCAACAGCAAAGTATACTGAGCATCTCAGTTAATGCTTTTCGTATTTGTGTTGGCGTGTTTATCAAGTTAATAATATTCTAGCTCTGTTAGAATTATCTAGGTTTCTTTACTGATTGGTAGTTTTGATTAATTATTTAAATATGTTATGATTATTTTTCATTTTCATCTTGTTTTATTTGTTGGATCACAATAACCTACCGACATCTCATACTTACTTGCATTTGTTAATGTAGGATTGCAAAGCGCGCCAAATACAGCAGACGACGCATACACGATGAGGACGACGACATCGACTACATCAACGAACGTAACATGAAGTTCAACAAAAAGTTGGAACGCTTCTACGGACAGTACACTGCAGAGATCAAACAAAACCTTGAGAGAGGAACTGCCATTTAATTGTGAATGTCTCTTCCAAAATGACTATTTTAAAGCGTGTCTGTTGAATTTCAATTGATTGTATGCTAATTTTTGAACGTTATTTATGTATATTTCATCAATATTCAATTTTTTTTTGTATTATATTCAACAAAAAACTTAATAAACAAATATTGTTTGCTGTTGAATCAGTAAATGATACGCTATTTGAATAAATATATCGAGTTGCGTTCATTATTGCTGCCGTTGGCGGTGGTTGTTGAAGTATCTTATTCCCAAGTTGTCCCATTTGATCCAGGAAAGTCGTGCAGTCAGATCTGTCAAATGTTAATAATTTGTTTATAGTACGGTAAAACAATATAATAAAGGACCGCCACACCTTTGGCGCTTTGATTGTCTGTGCGCCCCTAGTAGTATTAAATGAGTTATATATTATCTGCTGATGTGTTATTTCGTTTCTTCTCTGTAAAAAGTTGTTACACAATTACCATTTATTATCAAAACAACGTTTCATTTTGTACTTATGTCTGGTGAAAATTGTTTGGGAAATTTTCTCGACCAGTACCTAAAATAAACGTTTATGCATCGAAAGTGCATATACGGAGCAGCACTACAGTACCTACTTCGCTGATTTTATTTGAGGAATGTCGGTCAGATGGTAACAAAGCACGTCTGCGTTTGTCAAATTTTCAAAAGCGCTGTGGATAGATTCGTGTATGACAGCTCCACATTTATGACAAAAAATTTAGCCAAAATGAACGTTAAAGTGCTAGAAAAAATCATCTTTGAACTTCAGTGCCATTAAAATAATAAGTAAAATTACATGTCTAGGTTGGCAATGATATTTCATTTTGTCACCTCTTGAAGTATTTGATTTGTTTAAAGTTACAGACAAGTCAAGTTATGTAAAAGATTGCAACAAAAAATATTTTAAAATTATTTTTTTCAATCTATGTTAAATGATCGTTACTCATAGCAAAACTCACCACTGATGTTCCACGCAACTTTCTCGTTAGTGCTGCTAGCAGATCTGAGTTTGGATTCAATGTGAACTAATGGATCGAGTTCTGAGTTGAGGACATCTTTCAGAAGGTTGATGTAAGCCATGGCCAATCTCAATGTGTCGATCTTTGAAAGTCTTTTCTCATAAGGAAATGTAGGAACGTGGTATCTATAAAATAATTTTTAAAAGACTACTCTTCGGTTCGCTTTTCAGATTTTTGATGTCATCTGAAAACAGTTTTTGAAGCTATAGGAACTGAGTATTTTTTTTCAAAATTTATTTTTGGAATATAAACATAAATGAAATGAAATAACATTTCGTTGGACATTCTATTCTCATATTTGTTTAAAGATTAGTTAGTATGAATCAATTTACAGAACAAGATATTGAAAATACTCTGATATTAAAAAAATGTGCATAACATTTGTTCCAGGTAAATCTCAATATCTGTGTTGCCATAATTTTAGCATTCAAAGCCTAGTATGTTGCATAAGATTCATTACTCATAAGAACTATGCCCTACCCCTTATACTCCGAAGGAAACTCGACCGGTAAATAATCATTTTTGACAGGAAGGTTTTATTTTTCCTTCAAAAACACTCCATTATTATATAATTAAGTTAAAATAAAAAAATTGTTGTCAAACGTCTTGTAATTCTGTTTTGAAATGAATTTTTCCACGGAATGAAAAATCATTATTTAAAATTATTCAATACAATGTAAGTCACCATTTTATGAGTTTGAGAGTTTCGAACGTGAATGGACTGCTTATATTTTTTTAATGTTGTTTTCAGATGAATTTTTTTATTTAATATTAAGAAATGAGAGTTCATCAAATATGACTTTTTACGAATATTCAATTTCAAAACAAACATAAGAATGCGACAATGTAATAATAATGTGAACAAATATAGGATGTCAACCTTTAGACAATTAAAAGTGCTTTTTTCTACCTATTAGAACACCAATCCAAGAACAGGTGTTCCTTCACAATAAAATATTTGCACAAATCAGAAATATCTAATTGATTAATTTTGATTAGGAGAAAAATTAGGACAACCTAAGTTCATTGAATGCCATGTTAATGCTCATCATCCTCTTCCTCTCCCTCACGTTGGCTGCCTGCCTGTGTTGCCTGTGACTGCTCGGTCTGAGTTTCAATTATTTACTAAACTAATACAATATCATTCAAATCAACATATGAGTTTATTTGATAGATAGATGCTATCAAATAGATTAATCAGCGAAAAATATTGAAACGCACGCTTAAAGTGAAATAATCATACGTAAGCCCATCATAAGCAATATCTAGCAGTGCCGGTTAGTATTAGGTAAAAATTGATATTACTTTCAAATATAAAGATATCAAAAGTAAGTAAACTAAAATTTCAGGCATTGATAAACTTGGTCAACCTGCAGCAGCTGTTATCAACGCTGCTTTGATCGCTCTGACAGTCGTCATCATTGAAGCACTCAACGAACTTTCCAGCGATACTTTGTTCCTGGTTGTAAGGTTTGAAGGATGTCTCTTGGCCGTTTGCAGACACGTTAAACTGGTTGTTGACATTGTTGTAATAACTCTGGACTAAAAAGTAAGGTGGTTGATTGTAACAATAATAACCACCGCTCGTGTCTAACATGCCGTTGTTTGAATAGTGATAGTTACTGTTGCTGGCAATATTGTTATCACTATTGTTGTTAATGTTATCGCTGTTGTTGTAGCTGATGTTAATGTCTTGGTTGTTATCGTTGTTGCTATCTTCATCGATAATGTTGATGTTGCTTGTGACAGCAAGATAAGCGTCGTCCGGAATGTATTTATTAAAATGCGTCATTGTTTGGTTTTTGTACGTTACGTCCATGATCAGCTGAATTATTCTCTATTGAAAATAAAATTGTTTATTCTTGTTCCTCAACCCTCTCTAGGCTTAGTTATTAAATGTGCACGTGTACATATTGCTGTGATGTAACGTACAAGCGGAAATTAAGAACTTAATCTCAATTGTTTCTGCCTACTTTAACAAATCTCACCTTACACGCTCCGTTGGTTAAATATCCTGCTACTCACGAGTCTGTGTTGCGTTAATTTAAAAAAAAATTAGTATGAAATTTCTTTATAAAACACTTTTGATAGTTTATAATTAACAAATTTTGTAAAATAATCTGTATTTTAGCTATATATTCATATTATTGGATTTATTTTAATTTAATTTTCAACATGCATACATTGAACCAATTTCTCAATTAATCTTATTTCATACAATAATGAAAAAACTGTTTTGAGTTTGCAATGTTAACAAAGCGTTTACTTATTTGTAATGAACTGTATTATTTTATAACATAAAAAAGTACAACCGCTGGGAACTAACAACAAAAACTTTTAGGCTATCTCAGTTCCTTATTTTCGGTTCCTCTGTTAATTCTAAATGTACGTTTGTTAACACAATTTCAAAACCAATAGAAATGTTTTAGCAAATAACGTAAAATCAAACAAATATTTCAGTGAAACTTTAAATATTGATAGATAATATAGGCGTGGTCAGAGAGGACCAATAGCCATCAAGAACGATGCTAAGTGACGAATCAGCGCTGACTTTATCTGTCCATTGCCGAAAATATTAAAATATGATCTGCGAATAAATGAGCAAAAAAATATTTTTTTAAATGTAGAAGATGACAAATATAAGATTTAGAAAACAATTAAATCAAAATAAATAACGTTAAATTGTTAACAAAACCCCGCCTACATAACCGTAACATAGTATTAAAGCTGTAGCGATAATAACCTAATAAATGAGTGGGAAGTAAAAAAATCTCTTGCCTCATGAAAGGAAATGCAGAATGAATGTAACACTTAAACTATTGAAATCTTCATTCATAAGCAGAAAACATCATTTAATATCATTATTAAAAAATAAAGATATTCTTGAAATATTTTGTGAGAAATAAGAACGAAATAATTCATCTTTGAAACTGAGGAACTTGACTACAAAGTACAAAATAATAATCCCACTCCAAAATACAATAACGTTACAGCTAAGACAGATCTACAAAACATCAATTACAAATGGGCATGAATCACTGGATCGATAACAATTCAACTGCATAGACATCCATATAGTCTAACACACACACACACACACACACACACACACACACACACACACACACACACACACACACACACACACACACACACACACAGATATACACAAACACACGCTCGCACAGACAAAATTACAAAATCCTGCGCGGTTAGCCAACGATAATGACATCAACTCAGATTATGACAACAGCACACGACAAAAATTTATTTTAAAGAGTTTGACCAACACCTGACCGTGATTGGTTGAAGAGATGTCACGTGAACAAGATGTTAATACGCTTTGTATTAGAGAGAGAGGGAGAAAGAGAGAGAGAGAGAGAGAGAGAGAGAGAGAGAGGGAGAGAAAGAGGAGAGTGGCTTGAAGATATTGATAAACCGACGATTATTGAGGGTAGTTAATTTTAAATGTGCTCAAATAAGTCAACTGTAAATAATTAATTCATAATAAATGAAAAAAAAACTCAAAACTGTTCCATGATAAAATGTTTTATTATTAAAAACATCGAAAAAAGCGAATAAAAGTTGAAAAGGAGGTGAGAAAGTGATGAGATGAGAGAGAGTAAGATGTCAAACATGTGTGAATGGCTCTTCAGGTGATCAACCGTTAATTGTTTGTGTCTTCTTGTGTCACCTCCATTGTTCCTTCCATTCAACCACTTGCCACTCTCCTCCTACAGAGACACACACAAGCACAAACTCACAAATTCTCATTCGAAGGTTCATTGAAATTTTTTTCGCAATTGACTTTATCTAAATGAAAAAATAAATCAAAAACCACAGATTTTCATAGCATGATTCATTTATTAACACCCGCAGAGAAGTGTCGCGAAAAAAAATCCCAACGTTGACATTTGCATTTTGAAGTCATGTGAAACTGCGGCGATATAGAAAAATAAAGATTAAAAATAAACTATTTTTAAATTTAAAAGCCACGAGAACTGCTAAAAACTGTTAACATTTAAAAATAATTATTGTTTAAAATTTTTTCAATAAATTGTATGTTGCCGAATTGTAATGAATATGAAAAAAGTCTTGTTTGAAATTTTACCAATTTTCCAAGAATATAACTCATTTTGACATACCTACATCACAACTATAACGATTTACTGACATACGTTCGCCTGTTTTTTTGAACGAAGCACGCATAGCGCTTTGGTGAGAGTTCTTTTTAAATCGCATGTTATTCTGTATGTTAAGTTTTTTATTTATTCAAGTAGTAACTGTCAACTGAAACAACAGAAATGAAAATAGCTGTCAAAAAGTGATAACAAAAATAAATAAGTTTACTTTTACTTTAACAACGTTTAGCATATATATCATTTCTTTACAACGTGGAACACCGGATGGACAGCATCAAAGGCAACAGTATTGGCAAATGAATTCGTCATTCTCACGAAACTGATTCACTCGCAGACCTAAGCAGACGTGATGGTACCATTTAGAACATTTGTCGCACTGTATCCAATTCACTTGTTTCCCTGCGAATGTTAATGTTCAGATTGTTGTTAAGTAGAAATAATTGAATTTGTTAAAATTAAAATACATAACATACAGTGTTGGATAAAATCATATCTCTTTAGTTTAAAAATCAATTTAACGCATCAAAAAACGTGCCGAACTGCCGCTGTAAGTACCATGGCCGGCACGAGTACTAACTTTGCACCGTACCTCATCTCGACCAAAGTGACTTTGCAGTGAACACCAAACCCGTTTTAGACTAGACGAGTTTCGTCAATTTGTAAGACCCACCAGTAGCCAGAGTTAAAACATCGACTCAGTGTAATTATTATCTCAGTGGATGATAATGCAAACTGCGGCGTTTTTAAAGTAGTTCGCAAAAACAGACGTTGATCGATGGAAGACTCAGCCAATAAAAGTGAATACAGACCAGCAGTCGCAAGTACACGAGTCTATATAAAGGAGTGGGAATTTGTTGACCTGCTGGACGAAACGTGTCTAAAAAAACGAGTTAGCGTTCACAATAATGCACCTCTGGCCGTTGTAAGGAACGGTGTACAATATTTATATTGATTCGGAATAAAAATTGAAATAAAGTACTTCATAATGACTTGAATTCCAAAAATAATAAACAAATGAATAAAAGCATGAATTTAAATCATTTTAATTGAAATCTCGCCCAACACTGGTTATATGTACAGTATCACGATTATTAATTGAAAATTAAATGTTTTTAATTAAACCTAATGGTCTTAAACAGCTCCCAACTGAACAATCCTCATGACTGCTATCATTACTTTCATCACACTCCGACATTATGTCCTGGTCTTCCTCTTCATCCTCCTCCTCCTCTTTCACCATCTCATCATCGTCTTTATCATAATCGTTGTTAGAAGCCAATTCTAAATCATCATTACAACTGTTTGCTTTGTAATCTTTTAACGTTAATTTACATTTTTTAGTTGTGCTGTTACTAGATGTTTCTATATTAGCATCTCTCTTATGTTGACCAGATGGTTTGATGTCTGGCGCTTTTGCAGCTGATGTAATGATTAGCCCGTCCGTCTGTGTTGGTATTTTTGTGCCAAAATTTTCATCTTCAACAGACTGGTCGATTGACTTCAATCTCTTTGCTTGTTCTGCGCACTTTACAAACTAAAAAAAATAAAACAAGCCATAACAACAATTTTACCTAGAAATCATAAAAATAATTAGAACCAATTAAAGTTAACATAAACAGTTAATAGAAAGTTGCAACGTATGAATGCTTACATCGTCAATTAGTTTTTTGGATCGGTAGTAGAGAGACATGAATCTCCAGACATAATCATGTTCATCTGTTGAAACTTCCAGCAGCTCGCCCTCCACGACAAATTTGTCCAATCTTTCAAACGCTGGACTGCTGCTCTCAATGAAATTCTTTAGCCGGCACACTCTAAAAAATGGTTGTCAAGCAGTTTGTGACATGATGCTGTGTAGGAATACATTTTGAACGTAATCAATACTGATAATTTTCTCATTCTAAAACAAAAAATCTGTAATTAAACAATTCAAGTAGAAAATTTGATGACTAAACGAGCAGTGATTCTACCTCTGGATATCCGCATCTTTCACAAAGAGCTCGCACCTTTCCAATTGAGTGATGGTCTCTTCAAAAGAGAGCAGATGAGATATGGCGGGCCTGCACTCATCTGACTGCAAATATTCCTTCAAACGATTCATCCACGAGCTAACTCGGTCAACCAACATCTCCAACAACTGACCTTCAATTATTCGAAGTGGAACAAGCAGCAGGATGACTAATAGCTGGTACACGTCATCCAGGGCCGGTCTCTTAGAATGGCAGCAGTTGATGCAGTAGTATCTCGATTGAAAAACCGTGTTAGAAGTTGAACTGCTTGAATAAACTGAAGTCGGTTGTGCAGAAGTTTCAACTGCTTCACGTTTATTTGTTGTGACAGCATTTGAAGATATAGTTGATGCAATTTGATTATTTTGTTGGCAGGATACTGTTAAAAAAGTCATATGCTTCATTCAATATTGTTCAACAACATTGTAATACACCTTTAATGATTTCATATTATTTTAGTATGCTTATATTACGTTTGGTATATGCAAGACGTAGACCAGAACACAAACACACGTACTATGAAAATAATTGCAGCACAAAAAGCATTGTATCATATCTAGGGATAATGGTTGTTTGCAGAAACAGTACAATGAATCATTTGAAATCCACTTCAGTTTGTTCACTGTTCTCAGAACGAGCATGTCCTCAAGCTCTTTTCTTTCTGCCTCTCTTATGCATTTTGTCTGAACGTTAAAATGTTGTCAAGTTTAAAATAAAATGAAACTGCAATACTTTTGAATAAATAAATATCAATGCTAATATAACTCTTTGATGGCAACTCAAAGATTAAATGTTAACTGGTTAAAACATCTTGAAGCTTCAACTAGCCATCGCATTTGAATCGTTCATTTGGTGGAGGTTGTATGGAAATTGATTGCTTCCTTGTCTCTTTGCCATTTTCATTGGAACTATCAAGGAGCTTGCATCATACATGTTGGATCCTGGAATTAAGATCTAGTAAACGAAATTACATTATAAAACATTTGACAAACAAGTTTAAATAACATTTTACAAACAATGAACAACTAAATTCATCTTGACTCATCGATTTCAATACTATTTCTGTTACAGCTAATATTAAGATAATATTTGCATAAAAACTCATAGAAACTTTACAACCTCAAATAAACTGCTTCCACTTTTGCAACCACCGATGAAGCTAGCATCGACAAAAGCAATTTGATCAGCATCACCTCTCTGCACAACAAACAAATCTTCCGCCTTCTTCAACCAATCAACAGCTTTGCAGATATCATTTTCCAATTGAGTGAGGATTTCTGAGGAGACAGGCAATTCTGCGCTCTTTTCCAGGTGTTGCTGCATGTCATGCAGGTATGGTGAGTTGTCGTTGCTCTGAAAATCATTAATTTTAATTTTAATAACACATTTATACACACGTATAAGTCAGATGAACAAAACGCATAGACAACACGAAACGACACTAATCCCGAATGTGAGTCGTCAATAAAAACTCAACAAAAAGTATAAACCTGAAAAGGAAACTAAAAAAAATAGATTCATAGGATGATTTATTTAAGGTGGTACACAAATAAATAAAACATTAAAAATGTTAAACAAAAATAAAAGCAAGAAATCAAAAAACATAAAAAAACAGACCAAAAGTTGTTCGAATTCTTGCTCCCATTGTTCAGCCATTGAAATTTTATTCTTCCACTTTATCAACTTGTCCGACTTCACTTCGGATGGATGATCTTCTGCTAGTTTCAATAATTCTTTCATTTCTTTCAAACCCAAGTTCGGTCTTTGTTTTCAATTTTGAAAGAAATAAATCATTACTGAAGAATTTATTATAGAATTAATTTATATTGTCGATATTTCGGTTTCATCATAGGTAGCCAAACGGCAATCCCCGATCTCGGGTAAAATGTCGTCTAAACGTGTGTTGTTTGTTGCTTTGTGTGAACAAATAAGTTAATGAACACATTTTTCGAAAAATTTGTTGATGAATTAAATATTATTCTAAAAGAGTTATTCTTCATCAAAACAGTTAAGGTCCAAATAAAATAAAAAATAAACCAAGTTTGAAAAAAAAATGGCAAGTTGAAAATGATTCTTAAAAATCAAAACGTTTTCAATGTCAAGTACTTTGAAAGCATCAAAATAAACAGTTTTAAATCTAAATGAACTGGTTTTAATCATATTTTCATTATAACTAAAAAAATTAACTGAGTAACCTCTGACTAGTGATGCATGAAGAGATGATATCATTCAACAGTTCGTTTTGTCTGTTGGCACATCTCAACAGCGAGATAACCTCCTCAATTTTCTTCCTCAGTGGAGAATTTCTATCAATTCTTACAAACCTTAACCCTTCTCTTATGAGACTTTTTACTTGTTTCAGATCATTATTATCGATCCAGTGTCTCGATGATGTTAACGATAAGAATGCTGATAGTGTGGAGGACGACGACGATGATGATGATGATGATAATGCTGACTCAGAAAGTGACAGACTTTTAATAACATTTTCAGACCCTTCAATCCAAAGCACCTGCTCGTACATCTGTTTAGAGTTTTGTCTTCAAATAACTCAAGTTGTTATGTTTAATTGGATAAAATTTTAATGCTGCCAAAGAAGTATTCTAATATTTGTTTAAAAAATTTTAATTCTTAGCAGGCAAACCTTATTCAAAATATCTGAATATGAATGTTCAACCAGTAAACTTTTTGAAACATCCATCAAATAATTCAAATCACTTCTGTTAAATAAAAACTTTCTCTTCAGGGTCGTCGGTGTTGATTTTGTTTCGAATGTTTTATTTGCTGGTAACATTGTTAATGGCAACGAAGATGAAGATAATAATTGGTCCATGGCTGCATTGAAATCCTCCACAATTTCGATGTTCTTCCTGATTTTGTCAGTCACTTCCAACTGACATGGACTGTTGATCAAATCATTGTATAACGTTTTCAAACCATCCAGACTCAACTTAGGACAACCACTGAAATAAAAACATTGAAATAAGTAAGAATTGCTAATTTAACTTTAAAAACCTAACTATTTTTGTGAATGCATAACAAAAATTATATTAAAATAAAATAACTTAGAGAAAATTTATTTTGAATTGTTTCATCAAATTTGTTATCTAATTACACTTAATGTTGAAAAGAAGTAAGCTTGCATGTACATGCAACAAAATTTACAGCAAGCCAAACAAACTATCTCACCCAAGAAGAGCACTGTTTGCATTTTTTACCAGCTTCTTCACCGAGTTTATAAGAATTTTAACACCCATTACCAACACATCGTTCTTTATATTCAATTCGTAATACTTGTTTTTAAATGCAATAAGTTCAGCATAACCTACAGTGAAAATTTAAATAAGAAACCAATTCAACTTTACAAAAAAAATCAGTTTATGATATTTTTAAAACAAAAAAAACAAACTGGAAAAGATTTTTATATTTGTAACACTGTGAAGCAACTGGTCAGCTGTTTGCAACCATTTCTTGTGGCTCTCAACTCTCTCCTTCAATGCATTAAGTATGCTGGCAAGTTGTACAGGTGTATATTTGAGGTACGATGTTATAAAGGGTTGTATGTCTTGCAAGTCATCACGTTGGTGAGGCTGTCCATGTAACTGTTGTTGTTGTTCATGTCGTTGAAGTTGATGATGCTCTTTCTGCTTTCGTTGTTGTTGTTGGCATGTCTCGTGATCATTTTTTGTTGTAAAATGTTTTAAGCAAGTAACTGGCAGTTTTAAAGTAGTTGACGATTGTAATCAAAACTCAAATAGGTATAATTATGTAAGAGAGTTAGAGAATTCAAAGATGTGAACCCACCTTTTTTACATACATTGCATTTGACAACAGCAAGAAATGCCACGGAACCACAAACGAAGCACCTCCTAACGTTTTCATTAACAAGCTCAATGTTCTTATGAACTATTTTTATTGGCAAGCCTGTCTTTAAAATAAAAATAACACAAATCTAAATGAAAATATTTTGTTAAAAGTAATCAGGGACTAAAACTTTGAAATAGAAAAAACTTTAAAAATATAATTGCATTGATTCAATCATATTCAATAGTCATAAGGAGAGTTATTCTTAATGCATGCACATTTGCAGGATGGAAATTAAAAAACAGGAAATTAAAATATTTACATTTTGAGCCTCATCACAGTATTTCAAGTGGTTGTCAATAATTCTCGACAAAATGTTGTAAACTGTTTCAACATTTGTTGACGTCAACATCTGTTGCTGGTTAGCCATCCTCACCAACATTTCCTCAAATGAAAATGGGATTGCCTCTTTAAACGTGCAACCATCCAACAACTGCTCCTCATACAACTTGAAAGTTTGCTGAATCTGTGTGAAACAATTTATAAATCAGGGAGAAGAATTTGTGTGCCTGTGTGCATGTGCAGACGTGTATGTACGATGTGCAAATTATCAAACTAAAGACTGAAAATACGATTAAGAGTTTTGTAGAAGAGAACAGTATTGATAGTTAAACTAAAATTTGTACGGCTCGTTTGCATTCAACAAAAACAAAAAAGTGACTCAAATTTGCAGCATGAAGAAAGTTTATGGTTACGTTGAATAAAGCAACATAAAATAAATAAACGATACACCCATAATGAGAACAGAACAACTGCATTTTAGTAGAACATAGCAGTCAATCATTGAAACAATGTGCAAGAGAGCTTACCCAGTTGTCAGGCAAGTAGAGAGAACTTTCTGAAAAGTTGAAGCCATGAGATATGCTGAATGTGTGAACATGCGGTGGGATAAAAACATATTCTCCTGCTCTTTGGAAAAATTTGACCGTCTAAAAACATTTAAAAAAAAATGTATAAGCATCTGAAAAAAAAACACATCTCCAAGCTGCTCTCATCAAGAAATTTCTAACTGAAGCTTTTTTAAATAAACATAATTTCACACATAAATAATTGATTTAACATAAATCATAATTTGACTAAAAATGTTAAAACAAAAATGTATTTGCTTGAATGTAAATAGAGGACATGAGTCAAGCCACACTACAGCCTTTCTTAAAGTAACATTTCTTCTATTCAAAGCATAAACCAAATATAAATACGAAGAAAAAGAAAAATTACTATGTCAAATAAAATGAACGAACTAATAAAAGCACGAAAGCAGCAACAGAAGAAAGCCAACCTTGACATTTTGCAGTGCAGTGATGTCATCGATAAGAGGACAAGTGCAACCACCTGCTACACCAATCAAGTCTTTCATCTTCTCACCACCACGACCTTGATCAGAATCAGCTGCTTCATCAAATATGGCACAATACCAAGTCCTGCTATCACCCCTTCAACAATTTTCAGTTTGAAAAAATGATTAAATATTATCAGCTTACTTACTATTCAGTCGAGCAGTGAAAAACACATAGCAAGTAAAAAGTAAGAAACCAATGTAGATAATGTAGGGTCCAAGCATTTATTTCATTTCTGGTCCATGGTCTGTGAGAGAAGCACATCTGCAGACTGCTTTCAATAAGGCCCTTGCATGATAATGTAGAAGGTATCTCAAAACAGAGATATTACAATGTAAAAATACAGAAACAAAATTTAGAAATGAGAAATAAAAAAAATATTTTAAAAAAATTCTCAAAACTATTAAATAAAAAATGGAACAAGGCAGTAGTAAAATTAATTGTCATTCTTATAAGAATAACATTTCGCTAATAAATTATTATCCAGATGTTTCAACGTTAAAATGTTTCAAATCACATATCCATTTTGCTTTTAAAGTTTATCAATTGTGTTACAATAGAAGAAAACACTGAAAGATGAAAAATTCATATAATGATAATAATTAAAAATAGTGGTTAGATACAAACTTTTGAGAAACTACTTGATGATATGTATTTCAAGAGGCAATGATCTTTTGTGTTACTAAGATTCCATGGGCTATTCAAATACATCTTAAATAGTATCAGAATGAATATTAAACATTTCAAACATTGGCAAATGTACAAATGTGATAATTGCATGCATAGCACAGGTTATTTTAAGATGTCATAATATATCAAACTAGATTGAGACAGGAAGATAGAACTATTAAAAAGTTAATGAAATAAAACCATCAAATGAAATTGAAATAAAGGTTTACAGTTACTTTGTCTTGTTCATACAAATCTTTGCATGAATCAGTAGGGAATCCACTCAGTCCAACCATGTTGATGGTTGTTATTTTGGATTTCTTTTTGTGGGCACCAGCTTGGTTTGAAATCATCGAATTTCCAGTATGATCACTGCACATCAGTCTTCTGTTTCTATGCATCAAATTCCAAAATTCAGTCTCCACGGCATCTTCGGGAACTTTCTAGAAATAAAAATACAAAATTAGCATATTGATTAAAATCTTTTTAACCATTTCCAGATCTTGAACCTCAATGTAGATTATCGTGATGATATGAGATGAATTTTCAAGTAGGAAAACAACTCAAAAATAACTATAAAAGTATAAAAAGTCATCAAAACATACATCAACTGGTTTTTCAAAGAAATCTCTTTTAAAATCATCAGCCATGATACCATAATCATAGATGTTCCAAACTCTGCAATTCTGTAAAAGTTGTTATATTGTGATTTATTTGATGTTGTCAACATAATTTAAATTTAAAAACTACCTTATCAAAGTTATTTTTAGAGAATAAATTTTCAAAGCCATTGATAACAAACGTCGGCCGCCATTCCTGAAAATTTATTTTAATATTTATAAATTATTATGAGATATTTAGATTATTTTCAAGTCAGATATGAAAATTTTACAAGTTTATTACAAATTAATATATACATTATCAATCTGATTAAATTTTATTTAACATATGAAAATCTTAATTACACAGTTATATCTATTTGTTTAGACATGTTTTAAACATTTTTCTAGTTTTGCCATTGGTTATCAATATACAAAAATCCAACCTTTGGTGGATGAATAATGCAAATTTTTCCATCTTGAGTTATACCATTTAGAAAATTTGAAAAGTCACTAAATTCTTCTTTGCCCGGATCAGAAATAGTGACAATATCATCAATTTTCATGGCGTAGGAAATATGTAGAAGACTAGAGGTAGAGGTCCTACTCAAGATGATTGATTTGTTGATAATAACATAACATTAAAACTAACTGCAACATAATTGAGTGTTATTTGCAAGAGAAATTATATCTGTTAAATTTTAAATGTAAAATTAAAACAAAATTTCATTATCCCTTAGTACAATTACAGATTACACATAATTTTTAAATTAAAAGACCGGTAATTTTAAATAAAAAAAATTATAAATAATAAAAAAAATTAAAATAAAAGATAAGAAATTAACATAAAAATTTTAAATGTATTCTATCTACTATTCTAATTGAAATCATTACCAAGGACAGCTAACACCTGGGCACATGTGACATGTCATGTATGTATATATTTAATAAGAACATTACATAAAAAAACCACCCATTATATATATACGTGATTTTGAGGAAAATCAAAAAACCGAGCAAAACAAAACCCAGCCTTCCTTCAGTTTTTTACTTTTACATTTCCTTTGCCTTTTATTTACCTATTTCAAGTGTTAAAAAATAAAAATGCTAAAGTGAAAATAAGCCAAACTTGGAAAATTTGAGAAATCTGAAAACCTGTGACAAAACTAAAACAAACTGTAAACTATAATAGATTACCAAATTTTAATTTTAATTTAGTGTTAAAAAGTGACTTTAATAATCAAATCAGAAATGACTAAGAAAGACTAAGAAATGACACAACTTCGATAAGTTCGTTTTTAATCAAGTTAAACTAATTGTCAATATTGGCTTTTTGGCTTAGAATAGTAACTGGAAGGATTGATTTTGGTTTTATTCTAATTATATGGTTTTATCATATACTTATAATAACCTGCATTGTATAAAAAATAAATCAACTGGCTAATTGAAACTGTTTTAGCTCAGTTTATCAATATAATATGATGACAAAGTGTAACAAAATTATTCTAATTTGAAGTCCATCTGACAATACAATGGTGGTATTAATAATGATCAGGTAAAAAAGATTAATGCTAATTATGATGAAGTTTAACATAATAATTGTTGTTAAACTTGAGTTTTTTATAAGTATCTTTTTATTAGTCAAGTATAAGTATATGGTTTCAATTAGTCAGTTGCATATCAATCAATCAATCAATCAATCAATCAATCAATCAATCAATCAATCAATCAATCAATCAATCAATCAATCAATCAATCAATCAATCAATCAATCAATCAATCAAGCAATCAATCAATTAGCTTATAAAGCGCTGTTTCCGCGATGTTCAACAGCGCTCCTCAATGAATTTTGAAAACAGATGGGTCTTGAGATCCGCTCTGAACTTCGCAAGTGATGGAGAAGTAGTCAGAGAAGTAGGTAGAGAGTTCCAGAGAAAAAGACCAGAAAAAGCAAAAGCAGATTTGGCAAAAGAGTGTTTAACACGAGTTAAGAAAAAGCGAGAAGAAGACGATCGTAAACCGGGGCGTTTAGGTTCAATTAATATATCTGATAAATACTTAGGAAATAATTTAGATTGAGACTTATACATGAACGTGCAAATTTTAAAAATTATTCTATATTTTATAGGTAGCCAGTGCAAGAAAACAAGATATGGAGATATATGAGAAAAGAAAGGGGCACGAGCAACTAGACGAGCAGCAAAGTTAAAAGCTTTACTTAAAGGATAGAGTATAGAGTCAGGAAGACCATAGTAGAGCGAGTTACAATAATCAATCCTAGATAACAAGAAGGAGAAGAGTAGCATCATCAAGAAAAGGCAAAAGTTTTTTTTATTCTACGTAGATGAAAGTAAGAGCTTCTAGCAACACTATTAATCTGAGAAGAGAGAGACATAGTAGAATCAAAGATAAAACCTAGACTACGAAACTTATGAGAGACATCAAGAGTTTTAGAATCAGGTAAGATAATAGGAGGAATAGTAATAGAGTGTTTAAATTTATTAAAACAAATTAATTCAAACTTAAAAGGATTAAGTTTAAGACACATAGAGTCAGACCAAGCGATAATTGAAGAAAGACATAGAGATAAATTATGAAGAACACTATTGAGATTAGATGGAGGAAAAAAAGTATAAATGTAAGAATCATCAACATATAGTTGACTAGAGAAAGAAAAGTTATTAATAATACGAGGTAGTTCAGAAGTATAGAGTATAAATAGAAGAGGGCCAAGGATAGAACCCTGAGGTACCCCGAAAGTAAGAGTAGAGGAGTTAGAAGTAGAATTATTGAGAACAACAGAAGAAAAACGATTATAGAGATAAGAAGAAAACCAAGATAGACAAGAATCAGTAATATTAAAAGAAAGATGCAGCAGTCTCAAGAGAATAGTATGGTCAACAGTATCAAAAGCTGAGGAAAAGTCAAGAGCAAGAAGAGTAAGATTACTATTGTCACTAGAGAGAAGGATATCATTGTGTATTTTAACAATATATAACAATAATAAAGCATCTTCTTTATATATATTGTCAATTGGTTTATCATTTATTTATTTACAATGCAGTTTATACCATATAATTATACCTTATACAATACAAAGTTTTGGTTGCCTTGACATCTTAAAGTTTGCAGCTAGCTTAAAAGACGTGTTTTTTAGTTTATTTACGGTTCGCTTTTCAATTTCCGAACTCTGTAGAACGAAACGAGCAAGTTTCCGAAATTTTCTGTTTCGGTTGTTTAATTTGTTTATGATTTGGTTTCCGAAGTATTGTGGTTAAAACCACAAAAATGTCTTCTGTCATATTCGAGGTTATCTAATAAAATAATGTCCTTTTTTTAATTTTTCAAGTTTTTAATTTCAATTTTAAAACAATTTGTGGACTCTACTACTAATATAATACTAATCTAATACTAGTTTAATGCTAAAATTTAATCATTAGATTAGATTGAGATTTAAAATTTAATAATATCTTTATTTATTAATTATTATATATATAATTTATTATATAAATAATAAAATGTAAATAATATCAGTTATTTAATTGTTTTATTAATACTTGATAACTTTTAATTTAATATAATAGCCATAATTTTTTACTAACAGCATCTTTGATTAATTAATGAAATGAGTCAATTTTGTCATTATATTATAAAACCTCATCACATTTTTTATTTTTAACTAATTATTACGATACTAGTGGTCCAGATTAATTAGGTCTCATAACAAATTACAACATGATGTAAATAATAAGAAGAAATAAATAACAACATGAAAGAACTGATAGCATTTTTATTTTTCACTATTAATGTTTGATTAGTGACAGGAAAATGTTATTTAGGTGTATTGTTTTGTTTAATAAATAATATTTAGATGTGGCATATAACATGATCAATTTTATTTCTTTTATTTTTATGTGTTCCATCCATATCTACATTTCTTTCTATTCTATTAAAAACTTTAGCAGTTTTAACTTTTAGCAATTTTTTTAGAAGTTAAGCTAAATTAAAATTTATGTTGACTATTCTTTTATTGTCACTTTTTTGTTTTACTTCATTATTTGTATTTGCATTCCAAAATGATCTCTTAACCTTTACATATGTCAAACTTTTTCCATTTCACCATGTTTTTTACACACCACTTTTATTTATAATTATGTTATTAATTTAAATTTTTGTTAAATATGAAAAAATTATTTTTGTGGGTAGGTCCATAAGTATCATGTATCTTTACTCCAATATTATTGTGCATGTACAGATATAATGAAAATATTTAATAGGTCATCTTTAATTATTTTGTTTTTCAATTATTCCAGGGATGGGTGTATGTGTTGAAGAATTTTTTATCAAAAAAGAAATTGTTTAACTCATGGAAGAAACAATATTTTGTTTTGATGAGAATCTCTAATGTGCCTAAGATGTTGTTCTACAACAAGAAACCAAAAGATTTTGTTGAACAAGCTACAAGTATCCATATGATTTTATTTCAAACTTATTTCATATTTTTACTTATCTTAATTCTTTTTAGTTAAAGCTTATAGCACTTTTTTGGATAATTTTTTTAGGTAGAAATACTTTTTGACTTAGTGGTATTAGTAGTCATAGAGGAGGTGATAGTACTGTTATTACACTGAAAAGTTTTGTTACAATCAATTGTTATTGCCTTAAAAAAAAGTTAATTATTATAATATTTGACGCTGAGTAATTTAATTCTGATATAATTTTCTATATTCCATCATTAGCTGTACCAAATTTGAAACAAGCGTAATGTTTTATTTATCCAATGTAAAGATATAACGTCTTAAGTTTACTTCTGTTAATATTCATCACAACATCAATTTATATATTCTTAATATCAAAAACAGAGGCAAATGGTTCTTTGTTTTTCTTTATATCTTTATTAATCCTCAATCCTTTTCATGCATTTTTTAGTTACTGGCTCTTAAATATCTTATTTCATGTTGGTTATGTTAGTATATCAGTTTGTAATTTTCATAGTTAACTTATTTTGATTTGTGATTTTTAGAAATTATTCCATTTGACTTTCATATTGTTTGATAGGCAAAATTTATTTTCTTTAATTTGTATTTTCAGATGTTATAGACCTCAGTCAAAATATTTTTTATGTTTCAAGAAAAGCATATTACAAGGGCAAATGTAATATTTGCTTGTTAGCTTTTGATTCCTGTGACCTTTATTTGGTGCCAAAAGAAACAAAGCTGACAGATATAATGATATTCCTGGTGCACACCTTGATGAAAATAAAACCTGAACATGAAGGTAGTTCTTATGATTTTCATGGCATTTACTTTCAAATAACTTTGTTTGTATCTTCGTTTGAACTGCCCAAGTCAGACTTATTTTCTCAAGAGAATCATGTGAGCCAATTGTGTTTTATCAGATAAAATAATTGCTAGTTGTTTGTTGAATGATGATGGTAATGATAGTTAGCTATTAACTAATATTGTTAATTGCATAAACAATCATGACATAAGTTTTTTGGATAAGTGTATTTGGTTGTAAATAATTGTACAATTAGTGACATTTTTTATACAATTTATCAATCATTTGACTATTTCTTTATAGTTAATCTAATTTAAAATTTTTATTATCGTTTTTATAAAATGTTTCATATTCATACAAAAAATATTTAGTGCAACATTTTGTCGTGAGACTGGATAAATCACGTGACCTCCAGCGTCTGGGCTGCCAAAGTTCAGTTTGTCTACTTCATTTGTCTAATTGGGGCATCACTCTTGCTTTGCAGGTTCGTTTTGTGTTAATTTCTTTAACACTTCTAATGTTATTTTCAGGTTATAGTTGAAAACAACTTCTTTGGTATGAACTGCAGGTATCAAAAAGTATAATAGCTCAGTGGCCAGTGAGGTGCATAAAGTCATTTGAATGTACAGGACAAGGTAGACTGGTCATCACTGTTGGTCATCTGTCTTCTACGGGAGCTGGAAGGTTTACATTCAGAACACGCATCAAGCAGGATGCCATTATCTACGAGACCCTTGACACATTGATTGACGAATTAGCAAGAATTGATAGTGTTTGTATCTACTGCTTATAACGTTTATATGTTTTTATAATTTGTTACAGCTATTTTGATGGGCTTGATGAATGATCATAATCTTCAAATGAATAACTGTGCATGCATGAAAAACAGCATCTTATAAATGCATGCATTTTGAGCTCTAAATGCAGCATGCTTTTGAATTCCTTTACTGATTATGTTGTTGTTGCCCCATTCTGGGGGACCCCTAGGGTTCCAATTGAGGCCGGAGCCAAACCGCCACTGCAATTGGGTTTCTCCAGAGGTCTATTGTTTGTAGTTTTGTGGTGTTTTGTGGACAGCTAAACAGATGCGGTACATCATCTGTATGATTGTTGCAGAAAGGACAGATGTTGAGGTGCCCACTGTCGATTCTGTTTTTGTAGCTGTTTAGAAGAATACTATGGCCAGAACGGAGTTGGTCTAGGGTCCGTCTGATTGCCCTGGGAAATGATTCTTGGTTTTTTTGGTGTAGGTGGAGGCCATCCGTCAAGCAACAGCAACGGCGACTGATAAGGCTTTGATAGTGTTATTGTGAAGTGTTTTTAGAGCGGACTTCAGAGAATCGCTATTTATGGTTGTTGGTAGAACCGCATGGGTTGTTGAAGCCCATTTGGAGAGGAGGGTGGTCTTTATGTTGCGGTGCGGGTGTTGTTGCTTGATGATATGATGGCACGGGTGGCTAGGGTTATGGCATAGGAGTAGGAATTGTGATGCTATTAGCTCCGAATGCTGCCTTACCGTTAACATCTGACATTCTGAAAGAAGGTGCCGTTCTGAAGCGATCACATGGCAACCTGTAATCAGATGCAGGGCGGCATTCTGGGAGCGTTGAAGACGTGAGAAGCTTGAGTCTGATGTCAATGATGCCCAGGCAGGACAGGCATACTCGATTGTTGAACGACCGATGGTTTTGTAGGTCTGTAAAAGAGTTTCCTTGTCCTGGCCATGGGTTGTACCACTTGGTGCCTTTAAAATATTATTCCTTATTGAGGCCTTGGATGCTGTTTCTTTACGGTGTTGTGAGAAGGACAGCATCGTGTCTAACGTGAGGCCTGCTTATGCTTATGAACTGCAATGGTATGAAAAGCAATCAAATCAACTTTCGGATGTGATGTCAAATTTAATTGCTTATGAATCTTCATTACAAATATTTTATTTTACAAAAATACTACAATTTATTGTTTATTTAAAAAAATTTTCTTCAGTACAATCCAATGTCTGAAATGTTCAACCAGTCCACAATCTCTTTAAGAAGTCCTCCAATAATGAATGATTTATTTGGATTGGGTGGTCTTACAGAGCTGCATATTGATTGTTCATTTGATCAGTACCATAAAAAACTGGCCAAGGATCTTTGTGACTACATGAGTGAACATCTTGGAGGTTAGCTCTTTGGCATAACGTTTTGTTTATATTTTTATTAATCTTTCTCCTGTTATATGTAAATATTTTTAAAGTGCTAATTGATTTTATTTCTACAAATATATGAACCTTTGTGAAAACAACAACAATAATATCATTATTATTGATATTAATAATAGATAAATTTTACAATGATATTAGAGAGTGTATTGGCTCTGTCAGAATCTGCAAGTGTGATGAACAGTTCAATCAGGTATTATAAGATTTTCTCTCTTTCCATTTCAGTTGATTAATAATTAAATAATTTATTTTAAAGGCTTCCAAATGCAGAAATTCCATCACCACATAAAAATTTTACTGAAAGTTCTCTTAGATTTCAACCGTCTTCATCATTCAAACTTTCTGATGCAGAGGGCTTCATTGGTTGCAGTGCTGATAGTGGCATTGGCAGAGAGTTGTTGAAAGATAGCGTCTTCATCAACTCTGATAATGAGGACACGACGTCATGTAAAAAAAATAATCTAGTCTACAAGAACATTGAACACTATCCTTTGTCAAACTCCTATGATATACATGAAGATGTACTTGAAGAAGATGAAAAGGAGGATAAATTAACAGTTGATGAAAACGATGCTGGAAGACGATACATATACATGAAAGCATCCAACAGTTGCAACACTAAACAATCATCTTCAAAAAATGTAAGGAGTGAAACTGAAGAAAACTCTTCATCCAGTTCCATTTATACAAAACCTCAACCATTCCTAACTGATAAATGTGAAATTGTGTACGAGAAGTATATGCCGGGAGCGTATTTGAGTCCAATCAACTCAAAGAAAAAAAATAATACGGGTAAATATAGCTCAAAGATATCAACATCAAAAAAGTTCGTAAATAAACTTAGAAAAAACAACTCCACAACATCTGATATTTATGACGATGATGGCGATGATAACGATAATAAACTTTCTCATGAAGAACTCCAACTGGATACCTTGATATCAGTTGGAGACCCATCCTATTTAACGCACGAAGAGGTCAATAAAATGGAACCATTGGCTGAAAACCTTAACAAAGAATGTTGTAATGAAGCTGTGAACGTTAAAGTCGACAGTGAAAATGGTAACTGCAGTGATGTTAGCAAAAACTTTGAAGGCTTGTTTGCTGGAGGAAAACTTCTGAAGGGGTTCAGTCTTAATGATAACACAGTAGTCTTTTGTAAAGGAAATTGACGGTATGTTATGTTATTTAAATCTTTATAAACAATGTTTACATTATGTAATGTTATGTTACTTCAATCCTTATAAACAATGTCTACATTATATCGCCTTCATCGTTTGTATTCCGTGTTAAAAATATATTAGTGAAATCAAAATGAAATGGTAACATCAAATGCAATAATATTTTACAAATTTGTTTATATTTTATTTTATAATATTGTATAGTTTTAGAAATTACATCCAGTTTGCGTGCCTTCAAAATCCACTGCTCAGAATTTATTATTTTCAGATGATTTATTTTGCCGTTTATTTTATTGTGGCTTACATTTTGCAATATTGTTTATTATTAATTCATGCAAAGACCACAAGTTAGGAAGACTATTCTAGTTATCATTTGTCATCTGCTCAATCTGTAACAAATGAAGAGGCCTGATTTTTAAGCGTAAATTTGATGGTCAGTGAGACTTTTGCATGATTAAACGATTTTTTTTAAGAAAATTGAATCATGTTAAAAAATTTTCATCAATTTTTGCAATTTGTATTAAATTTGTGATCGATTCGTATTGTTTCTTGATACATCATTGTTTTTTTGTTTTTATTATTGACGTTTAACGATGTTTGTATTTGCTTGCATTTACAACGTTTGCTAACATTTAAAGTAGTCTATGACAAACTGGTAACATCAAATGCATACACAGTATTCACCAGATTTTTGTATTTTTTGCAGTGTAATGTATACATATTATATACCAGTATATTTATTTATTATTTATATACTTGTGTGAATTGAAAAAAAAATTATTTGAACGAATTGTATGTGTGTGTGTAGGCGCCGATTCAACACAAGAACTATCTTTTTCTCTTTTCCTAAATCCTATTTATTTAAATACCCAAAATTTGTCTAAGTCGTTATTTTCTTCCATACGGCTCTTAATTGTGCATGGTTGCTCTTTTTTATAATTTTTTATTCCATTATACTAATGTTCGTTTACAACTTCCTTTCATGGCGTCCATGTTTGTGTGCATGTCTGTGTTAACAGGCCAAAACGTGTTGATTCTTTATTCTGTTATTTTTTTACATTGATGAAGTTATATCCATTTATTTCTTACAGTTGCACACGCAGCATTATTTGACATCTTACGTACTGAAATAGTAAATTAACATTCCTCCGCTAGTTATGCATGCATTAATTTTTAGACTAATTAATTTTACGAAATATTTTCAAGAATATTATTAAACAGAAAAATCATTGTCTTTTACAATAGATGTTTTCCAAAAATAAACTATGTTGTTAATCACACTCTGACACAACTTTTAAGATTTAAGGATAATCAGCTAACAAACAATAAAGATCGAATGTACTTCTAAAATATTACGACTGTTGATTTAAATGCAAGCGAAAAAGATTAAGAAGTTTTACTGGTTTTTTTTAACAGCAAACAGATCTTTTCAATGATGGTCGTTACTAGTGATGTTTTCATCATCATGACTACTGTCTACAGACTTGTCAGCTAACTCCAAATACTTTTTAAAGTTGAAGCTCAGAAATCCAACACCACCTCCTATGCAAATACTGAGAAGCAACCAAGCATTAAACGTCATTACAATCAGCATCAAGAAATAACCGAGTCCTATTTGGATTAAATACAATACTGACTGCAAAATGTGAATAACTCCAAACTGTTGCCTCCTGTTAACAATTGCAATGATATAAGAGTTATGCATTTAACAATTATTAATAATATCAATTTTAAAATGGTGAAATATACATGGAAATATTGTAATTAAAACAATAATGTGTCTGTAACAGCTCAGACAAATTTGTAAAATATGTACAAGTTTCAATACTAATACACTAATAATATAACATAAACAACAACATAACATAACACAATAGTTCAAATAAAGGGCGCGAACTTAACTTCCTATGCCCCCAACAAAATCATAACCAAAATATAACCATCTCTAAATAACAGAAAATAATATGATCGAAATAAAACAATTAGTCTAAAATAAACCACAATAGTATTAACTAAACTGAAGGAGATAAAAAATAAATATAAATATATATAAAAAACAATCAAGCTTATAGTTAAATTTACACAGCATATCCTTTAAAGCATTGTCAAGTTTCTTTTTAAAATCATCAACATTGCATGCATTCACCACATCCTCTCCTAATACATCTACATAGTTTAAGAAATGATCTGCTTGTCGTCCAAGTGTTGAAGGTTTAATAGATAAAACCTAACAGAGCTAACAGAATAAATGAGGCTAATAAAGAAGTAGTATGTGAATGAAGTTGTTTTTTCTGGACAATAAACACAGTTGAACAACTTCTAAATAAAATGCAGCTGTATTTTGTAATAAAGTTAATTGGCAGATTATATTTTGTTACATTCAAATGATTACAGTTCATATGGCTGTGTAATAATTGGCATGACATAGTTAGCCATCCATATTTACTACAACTTACACACAAATGCATCATGAGTAGCGAGATTTTAGCGCCTATTTCTGCTGTTGCAGCAACTGGATTCGAATGAAAACTGATCCCCGCCTATGATATGTGTTTCATTCGTAAAAAAGTGCATCGTTGATACCTCTGAGTACTGCAGTGTGAGAAATTATAAACAAAAATCATTATGAATATCAAAAACATCATCCATTTTTTGAGGAAAGGAAACATGTAATACTTTTAACAATGACATTTCTAGATCACAAAACAAATAAAGATCATCTAAAGGATTTTACCAAGTTTGAGAGATTAAAGAAGAATGAAGTTTGAAATTAATGAAAGATGATGATAATTTTTTACCTAGTGAGTTTGCCAAACCAACTTGTTGGCTGTATCAACCTTACTTCCTCATGTGTCTCAACCGTTTCAGCAATTCTTTTACGAAAAAACTGTCTGTTTCCAGCTTTGATCCAGTGATCAATTCCATTCCTGACATGGCGTAGGCCTTCATAGCATATTGCTAATAGAATAACAATTATGCATGATCCAAACATTTCTGAAATAAAAATATCAACAATTTTTCTGAAATAAAATATGAATAAGTTCAAAAAGTTGTTAACCTTGGCATGAGGAAGATTTCCATGCTTTGAATAATATTGTAGCTTTGCAGTTGGCATAAAAATACATCTTTGAAAAAAATTAAAATAACTTTTAATTATTACATTCTTCAACCTTTGTACAAATATGCCTATTTGAAACTGGCTAAGAAAAATTAATAAAATGTTGTGATCATGTTATATAATTATATTATTATATAATATAATAAACTACTAGTATAAATTTAACATAATTTTTTTTATAACAAAATAAAGGACCTGCATCATTGGATCAGCAGTGTTGTTTTCACACATTTTCACTAATAAAAAATCTTCAATTAAAAAAAAATTTTATTTTATTTTGTAGCCCCATACATCAACCGATTGGTGTGCACTTTTAGTTTAATCACAAATTTTTCACTGATTTATAAATCATGTGTTATAGATATTAATGTGTAATTCTTGTAAGGTAGTACCACCATATTATTATAGAATAATAAATCCAATGACATCTATATATTTGCATATAATATAATTTTATAATAATTAATAATAAATACTATTATAGTAATTATATCATAATATTATATATTATATACTATAATAACTATAATATCATAAAAGTTTATAACAGATTCTAACTAAATTATATTAAAATTAAATACTACTACTAGACTAATATTCATAAACATGACTAGGAAGACAGAATAGCATTTCTTCCAAGTATTTCTTCCTACTATGTTTCCTAATATAATTCCTATATATATAATAGAATAGCAATAAGAATAGCCTCTCTAGTCCAGTATAGTTATAGTAAGTTAAATGTAGATTGTAGATAGTCTGTGTATGAATATTAGATAGAAGACTGGACACAAATAGGACAGACTATTATAGGTAGAGGAACTATAATAATGTAATTATAATATTATTATAATTTAGAAAACAGACAGAAAGATTATTTACAATTTAAATTTATTAATTATTTCATAATAAACAGAAAAAATGATTTTTATCATTAAAAAAATGATAAATTAAATATATTTTTGAAACAAAAACTTTTAACTTTCAAATTCTAAAGTTTTAAAATTTAAAAAAAAACACAAAAAAAATTGCGAAAAAATTAAATAATTACAAATTATAAAAGTAATTTATTTTTCAATTTTAATAATTAAATTTAAGAATAATGCCAACTTCAACAGAAAATTAAACTGTATGTTGAACTTCTGAAACACTAAAATTAGTTTCTCGGAATGTTAATCAGTGCAACGCGTTAAATTCAGACATTTAATAATTAATTTAACAGTATCGCGTCTCGTGACGAACATGTAGCAGTGAAATTAGGACAATTAGATTTTCCCTACTAACGTAAATGAATCAATTGTGTATTACACACACAGAGAATTTTCAGAATTCATCATCATCATTGTCATCACCATCGTCACTTTAGTCAATTCGTAATGAAAAACCAAATGCATTGAAAACTATAGCAAGAGATTATATGATAGATAACATATATATATGTGGATCTTTTCGTTGCTATTATAATATATATATATATATTAACAAATATATATACATATATATAAATATATATGACTGAAACCAAATCCATATACTTAAGGATAAAACTAGACGGTCATAAAGGACATATTATATTATTGCGGTTGCGTTAATGTCTGTTTAGAACAAAGAAACCGGAAGAGTAGTGAGCGGGAGAAGACAAGAATATTACTCGTTTTGATAGGCTGGACAAGCGTTTCGTACCTACGTACCAGCAGCCCGAATACCAATCATAATATTCATCGCAGTTTCTTATATAGCCGGCACAAATCACTTATCTCGTGGTGTTTACATTCATTGAGGAATGTTAGTTTTACTCGCTAGGATTTTTCAATCCGACAATATCCAGAATATTCGGTGTAAATAGAATTGCCACAAGATGAAAAGCAAAAAATTCATGAAGTGCATATATCTAGAATATTCACCTGTCAGAAAAAGCAAAAAACATGCCAAGAGAAGACATTAAAACAGAACAAGATATAAGATATATGAGAAGAGATAGGGGAACGAGCAGAACTAAAAAACGCTAGGCTTTGAAGATAGAGTGTAGAATCAGAAACAAAATAGTGGGGCGAGTTAAAATAACAAAATAATGAAAAAACAAAGTATGATCATCAAGGAAAGGTACAAAGTTTATTGTCTAGATAGATGTAAGAACTTTTAGCAACAATATTAATCTGAGAAGAGACACACCAGAAACAAACATAAAGCCTGTACCTACGAAGCTTATAAAACACGGCTCCTATGAAACACAATTTGCATTTTGAATTCATATGAGACCAAATCCTGTATTTGATCATAAAACACTACAGTTCCAATAATGCATGTCATTATGGCGTATTCACCAGCAAAAATATCTGCAGGTAAAACAAGGGAAACCATTAACTCGTAAGTGAAGATGAACGAAAGATAAACTTAAGATAACTTGCGAAGATAAAACAACCGAGACGTAACGAAATCAAGAATGTATCCGCTAAATAAAATTTCATTAGGAAGTGGTTCCTAAAATTTAAATAAGTTTAATTTTCATAGATGAGATAGACTAAATTCATATAAAGTGTTAGTTGCAAATCAGGTAAACAAACATCATGCTCTCAAGAAAACAAAACGCATACAAAAATAGTTATTCAATAACAGTAAAGCTCAGGTCCATGAATTCTGGCACACGATTTCAAAAGCTTTCTGCAAGACTTCAGTCCGCCCATGTAATCTGCCCATATTGTATTTAACCTGCTATTTAATCCTTGAATGTTGTTGTGTACAAGCGTATTCTTTTTTTCTTCAAAAACTTTTACATCTGTATCAATGTATTCTGCTTCAATGTGTAAAAGATTTATTAGCCTGTACAAGAATGGTGCTGCTGATCTAGAAGCAATGTTCAATCGATCATGTAAGCCACCACAATCGTTGCTGGCTTGAATTGGCTGAAGAAAAACATTCCATGTCTCAACAGGCCATTCAGGATTTTCTATCCAACAATTCCTTATGTATTCTATGAAAGAATGTAATGCCAAAAAATCGTCAGGAACTTTTTCTGTTAATATCTGAAACTGGATTTGAACCTCTTGAGCTGGGATGAAAGGAAGAGCCATTAACTGTCGACAAAAGTTATGTATCATGTCATTTTTTATATAAATTTCTTGCAGTCCAAAAGACTGTAATTGCCTCCATAAGCTCATTGTCCAATGATAAAGACAACCTCTTTGTGCAACTTGAGGAAAAACTACTTCCACAGCTTTCCATAAATTTTTTTGAAAATCAGATACAATGCGATGTAATTTTATATTTTCAGGCATAATATTTTTAACAAGATTGAGAATGCGAGTATAATCTTTTCGTTTTCTGCCGGACATCAATGCAAATAAGATTGGCACTTGCTTCACTTTTTGATTTCGTTTAATGTTTGTATGAATTATCATCAACTGCTTAAAAGGTGATCGACATATTTCTTCACATTCATCAATATACCAAGTTTTTGCTTTTGATAACAAGCCTATCATACGTTCACTTGCAAAAATAAGATGGCGACGCTCATGTACAAACAAGTCGCCAATAAGAAAATTTGGTGGAACTCGATCCATTTCAAGATCGAAATTCAAATCTTTGATAGGTTGAAATAAATTGCTGCTTTTCCTTCTGCTTACAGCTCTGCTTACATTTTTGTAGAATGCTGTGTTGTTTAAATGAGTCATCTCAGTTTCTGGAGTTTCAGAAGCAATTACATCAATGACATCTGATAACGAGACCTCTGTGTTTGTGGATTTGAGAAACTTTGCCTGTTCAAAGGTTGTAAAATATTTTAAAAATTGTGTAAACTCGAAAGTATTTTTTGATATTATCTAGCTAAAATAAAAATTGATGTTTTTAATCTATATAGGATCAAAAAAGTTTGAAAAATATAAAAATAAATGCACCATCACTATTTTAAACAATGAAATAACTATACGCATTTTAATTAAAATGATTAAAAATGGTGAAACTTTGCATTAAACTGAAGCGTAATAATGAAAATAAAATAAAGCAATCACTTCAGCGTATATTCTTCTTTTTAACAATTCACCAGTTCTAGGTGGATGGCTGTGCGGATGCTTACCTGGCCGATATAGACCATGTTTTTCAATGACAGAGGCATGACAGTAAGTTTTTTTAGATCTACGAACACATCTCCAGTAGCTGGCAGCTCCAACTGTATTACAAAATTTCACACTCAACTATTTGCTACAACAAAAATAACTTTAGAAAAAAAAACCAAAACATAAATAATCAAACCTTTTTTACTACTGGTTGGTTTATTGGCATAGCTATAACCTCTACTGTCCACCAAAAGATCCCTGCCTCGAGTTGAGCAGGACGGTAAAATGGTGTATGTTATCTTTAAAATTAACATTACAATTCGAAAAGTTATTACATTATTAAACTGAATTCAATTGCGACGTGAAAATTTTACATATCAGAAGGTCATGAATTTAAATAGTTCTTAATAAATGTTTAGCGACAACAAAATAAACATCAAAAACAAGCGTTCAACTAACCACATTACTACCTTTATCATTAATATCCTCACCACCTTCATCCTCATCTTCTCCTCCTTCATAATCATCATATTCACACTTTTTATTCAATGAAAAATTTATGTTATTATCGTTGCCAAGAGATTTTTTACACAAAATTTCTTCATTAAGTTCCTCGTTGTCATCATCAATGCCCTCCTCATTTACCGAATTGTTATAAGTAGAAGTGTCATTGAACAGACTGAAGCTTTGCATTGGATTATTTGATAACGATAAAGATGACATGCTGCTAAGATTGAAATGATATTAATTTATATGTTGAAATAATGAACATTAAATATTCACTTTTTATGATGAACTAATAAACTTTAGATATTTTTAATTTAAATTTTATCATTACTTTAATAATTGCATGAATAAAGATAAAAATTATAAACCAACTCTTTTTTCATGGCTAAGGACTGAATTATTTGATTATAAAAATTCTCTGATATTTCAACATTTTCAGGAACAACTGATGCAGTAAGTAATTTAGATGAAGAGCTAGACATATGTGGCGCTAGATGATAATGGTTGCTTTTGTTTAAACTGGCATAATTTTGATTAACATCAATAGTAGATTCAGCTTTATTCATTTCCCCACGATGGAAATTAGGCTTCTCATTTGAAAATCCATCAGTGTTTTGAAGTGAAACATGATTGATGATGTATTTTGATTTATCAGCTGGCAAAAAGTTTATATGTGCTACAACAACTGACTCAGCATTTGAGGAATTTTCAAAGTTAAGATTTACATCAGACTCATTAACTATAACTTCTTCATTGATTGAATCAGCTCCCAATGTGGAAATAGCATCATGCAAGTTCACTTGATTATCAGAATTTCTATTGTTACTGATGTCTTGTGAAATTTCAAAAGTGTGACTACTACTAAAAGAAGCCTTAGCATTTTCAAGCACAAAAAATTGAGACTCATCATGATCCAAGACCATTTCTACAATCTCTATTTCTACTGGACTTGCATTTTCCACACATGATTCAGTCAAATCCTCTTCAATATTATTAGAACTCATGTCAAATGCAATCTAAAAAAAAATTAACAACTGTATCCCATTTGTCAGTGTTAATACAATTATTCAGACATTCTAATTTTTATATCCCTGAGAGTATGTAATATTATGTAATATTAAGAATATAACGAAGAAAACTTAAAAAGTAGAATATCTAAAAAAGAAAGATAATGAATAGATAATTCTATAGCAAATTTAAAACAGTGGATTAATCACTTTTTTATGGCCATCGGATCATGGCTTGGAGCATACACTAACTTCAAGTACTCACCCACTGGCAGCTATTTTGTTAATTTTGGCATGATATTTAAAATTTGAAAGAATAACACTGCTATGAATTAGCAATGATAAAATAAACAAATGGATGAACAATTTGATCTACTTCTGTCTAGTCATAGTTTCGCTGCATCCAAGTAAATTTCAGTTACTGTACCTCTTATCATTCAATTCATCAATTAATTCACCACTGGTATGCTATGTAAATCATATCAATAAGCCAAGCATAAGTGGTGTGTTGTAACTGCAAGTAAGTCTCATTCAATAATTTACCTACCTCTACCTATCTATTGCTATCGTTTTAGTAAGTTTTTTTAAAGTTAAACAAGCAGTCTTGCCTACAATATACTACTCAGTATCTATATTGTAAATAACTAATGCCTATTTTACTTCACTGGATATGATTTGATTTGGTAAAGAGCAGAAAGTTTTTTCAATTTAATAAAATTCTAATAAAAAAGGATCATTGGCGTTAGAAAATTGAAAAAACCTAGAAGAGAACTCAAGATATATTATTTGAAATGTTATATATATATTCCCAAGGTAGATGGCATTTCGGCCCAAACAATTTCGGTTGACGGTTGAGTAAAAAAAAAAATCGCAACGTTTGTTAGCGAGTTGCTTCATGACCGAAATGAACAAAGCAAATCAACATAAACGACTGAAAAAGAAAAATCGACAACTAAAATTTCGTCACTAACCTTAACCTGGCAAATTAATATAAAATTTTGTCACTAACTTAACCTTTTTCGATCTAGTTAGCTTCCGTTTCGATTAAAATTAAATAGTCCAAGATAGCATGGCAGCGAAATGACCTGGCGCCTCATATTTTTTAATATTTTACATGACGCTGTGGTTCGTTATTACTAGATGAAAACGTGAAGTTAGGTTTATCCGGTTATTCTAAGTTTATGGTTCTCACATATAGACATCTACTGGTTCACAAAATTTTATTTTATATTAAACGAATGTTTAGGATCCGTTACAAAAATAATCTACTGGGCTGTCTTGAATACGCTGATAACAACTATACTTACTCAAAACGTGCGTGTTAACTTTAACACAAAACTTTACCGATACAGCTGAAACTGCACCAAAATTTTCAAAGTTGAAATAATAGCAAACCTATGAAGGATAAAAAATAGAATTATTAATACTACAATACTATTATCCTAATATTGTGTTGCGTGCTGATATGGTTGAATTGCTGGAATGCTATTTCGTTTTTCCAAAATGTTTTTGTGCTACCGCCTACTTAAAACGATGTAACAAAATGTGTCTGCTCACGCATTCTACACATTTTCAGACAGCTCCTACACAGTTTGATCAAAAAAGAAATGATGACCTCGATATAAGGAAAAGAAAAAAAGTACCAAAGAACACTCTTGTGTTTCTGAAAAAATAAGCTTGAGCCATTTGAGGTTAATCAATTATTGAAATTTATTTAGCCATGCAATTTCAGAATAAAACTGTCTTATTTCCAAAACTTCTGGCTTTTACATCACCTAATTGACATTCTAGTGCATTGCAAGAGCATACAATGCAAAGCAAAAATATTGCATCTTCGATTCAACACGCATTTGTCACCTGTTTTTAACGAACATGATAGCCGAAAATAACTGCTTGTTGGTTTTATGTTTTCGAATCGAGCCACCATATAGAGGCGCATGTCATGGCTTTCAAATATGTAGGCTAAGTCAAACATCTTTGTTGTTGTCGGCACTACGCCAACATTTTTACCAGTAAGTAAAAGGTAACATCTAACTAACCAATGAAAGCAATTGATGTTTATGCGCAGACGAACAATTTACAGACACACTTGGTAGGAAAACAAAAGCGTATTGTAATCAATCAAAGCTTGAAAATGTTGTAGTCTGCATCCACTGACATTTCACATGTATGCAACATTTAAAACCTCGAAAGTATCCACATTACAATATATATTACATATTACATAAATGATATACAAATACATATCACGTTGGTTATTATATCTTCATCATACGTACAAGTACATATACAGCATTAATCATGGATATGTACCATAAAGGTATGATATAGAAATAAGAGATATAACAACATTATGTACTTTTTATTTCTATGATGTGGAGACATTCATTATCATGACCTCAACCTCAGTTTTTTTCAGCACAGCGCGGTTAAGGTCGTCTCATTAATATATTAAATACCGGAATAAAACTTTCATTCTAAAAATTTTTAAATAAACTTAATTTAATATATAAATTAAAAAAAACACAATTAATGCAAATGAACAAATTATTATTGGTTATTTTTATAAACCCTACAAGATAACGATAATTAACAATACATCTACATGTAGCAAGTTTTCGGGTTTTTAAATATTATGCCCATCTTCGTTTCACACAGTATTAAAATACATTGACTTGCAAACTTTCCGAACTCAGCCAGCTGACAGTCGATCGAGTTTGCAACGAAAAAAGGTTTTCAATATTAATATTTTAACTTTTTAAAACTTTTTAAATGATCATTTAAACCTTTTAGAACGTATTCGTTTCATTTGTTTTGCGTGTCAATGATTAAATTGCGAGTTTTAGCCATGTTAAGAGCAGTGCTACCTATTCATTTTATTCGTTTTGTGCATTTTGACTTGACATTGAATTGAACTTTTACTTGGCTTACAAGATCAGTGAGACTTGACATTAAAAGTTTTTAACGTTTGATTAATTGTAATATTTGTGTTATCAGTTTAATTGTGGGTTTGTTTTATGTACCTTTTAGTACATTTATGTAATGCTATTCTATTCCAGTTCAGTCAGTTTGATAATAAAACAAAAAACATTGAGGAGTTGAGGGTCATCATAATCATAGTATTAATAATAAAGAAACTTCATTTCATGGTGGCATTTCTAGTTTGTAGAGTTTGTCATCTGGCATGTACAAAATTAAAGTGTTAATATAATAATAATTGAATGGTTTTCATTTTAGCGTAAAAATTTAATTGTTTTCCTGCTGCTCCTACTTAAAATGTTTTGTAGCAGATGGTAAAAAAATAATTAATTTGTGTTAAACTAATTAGCTAATCAACAAGGGAGTTCTTCCACCAATTTTTTTATGGAATGCAATATAATAATATTATTTTTAATAATTTTTATTAATTTTTGTTTGAACAAAATATTATTTGTGATTTTTTTCTCAATAAAATTTAGAAAAAGTTCACAAGAAGCAACATGGCTCTAGACCAGGAACCTGATATACCTTTCTATGAAGTTCATGAGGTTGTTGTGCCTCATTTGGGCAGAGTGCCAATTACGAAGGGTGATTTCCATGCCCTCCCAAAGAAAGTTCAAAAGTTTATTGCATTTTATGTAAGTTCAATATTTCTTAGTTTTATTAGTGTTGTTATTTGTAATTTATTAAAAATTATAATTAAATTACTGTCATTTAATTAAACGGTTCATTATGATATTTTATTACTAAATGTATATTATTATACTTTACCATGATTAATTAGGTGGACTACATGACACCGAGAGGCATATACATTTGTGATGGTTCAGAGCATGAAGCTCATGAAGTCATCACCAAGTTGATGGAGAGAGGAACTCTCGAAAGATTAGAAGCACTCGAAAACTGGTTTTACATTTTTACATTCTCAATAATTTTTGGAAATTTTGTTAAATTTGTTTATGTCAGTCTATTTTTATAATTTCACAAAAAATTCAACTTTTCAACCATTTTTGATTTTTAATTATTTCAACTTTTTAATCATTTTTACCTTCATCTTTCGTTTCAACTTTTCAATCATATAACAATTTTCTGCCAGTTACATCTGCAGAACGGATCCAGCTGACGTGGCACGTGTTGAAAGCAAAACTTTCATTGTCACCAAGGACAAATATCAGACCATCCCTCACTCGAAGCCGGGGGCAAAGGGAGGGATGGGGCTGTGGATGGACCCTGATGAAATGAAAATTGAAATGGACTCCAGGTTCAAAGACTGTATGGCCGGTCAGTTTTCATTTAAATTTTGTTACTAGCTAAAATAAGAATTATTTTCAAATGTCTTTCAAATACTTAAGCTACCGAAGCTATAAGATGAACTTGAAAATTGCATCCTAGGTCGAATGATGTACGTAATTCCATTCAGCATGGGACCAATAGGATCTGACTTGAGTAAAATAGGAATCCAACTGACTGATTCCAACTACGTGCTTCTTTGCATGAGACTTATGACCAGGGTTTCTCCTAAAGTCCTGGACATTCTTGGAGATCAGGACTTTGTCAAATGTGTTCATTCTATGGGCTGCCCTAGGCCGTGGAGAAGTAATTAATTTCACATATATGTGTCCAGTAGAAATTCAATGGATGTTCAATTATCTAAAAATATGAATAGATATGAGCAAAATGATGTTTAAATACATTGATCATATTTTTCATGCGAAATTGTTTTTGAAAACAGGAAAGGTCATAAACCACTGGCCATGCAATCCAGAGAAAGTTTTGTTGGCTCATTTCCCAGAGGAACGCAAAGTGAAGTCATATGGTAGTGGATATGGAGGAAACTCACTTCTTGGAAAGAAATGTTTTGCTCTGCGTATTGCTTCCAACATTGCTCGTGATGAAGGCTGGCTTGCTGAGCATATGCTGGTAAGTTCTTAAATGATGTGCACAGTAATTTCTGGATTTGTGGTTCATTTGCATATTACTTAATATATGCATTTTCTGGACAGCATGGGTAGAGCCGTATTTTGTATTGTCTTGCATGATCAGTCTATTGAAAATGCTTAAGTGGGATGGTTTTTAAATGACTAATTGGTTTGCACACGGCATCATTTTTCTATTGCACATCAATTGCAATTTTTAGGCTTTAGCAACTCGGTGCTGCGTGATGTTTGGAGAAAATTCATGAATCTAATGTGACATGTTACTCCAAACAATTTTCCAGATCATGGGTGTGACAAATCCGAAAGGGCAGGAGTTTTACATTGCTGCAGCCTTCCCAAGTGCATGTGGAAAGACCAACATGGCCATGTTGAATCCATCTTTGCCTGGATGGAAAGTCAGATGCGTCGGTCTGTTGTTCGAACTTTTTAGTTTCAAAACCTGTTCTCTTGCATTTCTATTAAATTAATAAAACTAATATTTTCAATAATATAATTAAAGGACAATGATAGCAAATTAGAAAAGATCAAATATAGCTTGATAAACTGTGCACAAAATTTAGGTGATGACATAGCCTGGATGAAGTTCAATGAAAAGGGTGAATTGAGAGCCATCAACCCTGAATATGGCTTCTTTGGCGTGGCTCCTGGTACGAACTGGAAAACGAACCCCAATGCGATGGCAAGTTTCCAAAAGAATGCCATTTTCACAAATGTGGCAAAAAGAGCCGATGGAATGTATTTCTGGGAAGGCCTTGAAGATGAATTGCCTGACGTCAGTTCGCTTGACATTCATTATTATTTATTATTAATGTTTATAATTTTTATAAATTAAAATTTTGGGAAAAGGACATGGAGGTGACAACTTGGTTGGGTCAAAAGTGGAAGAAAGGTCAACCTGGATTGACTTCACACCCAAATTCCAGGTCTTATTTTCATCAAGTTTTTGATTTATAATTATTTTTTAGAGATAACTTGTGTTGTTGATATACATAGGCGTTTACGTTTTTAGTTGAACATTTCAATTTTGCTAGCTCATATGACTTTATGTAAACAACAAGTTGTAAATGTTTAAAAGATTCACAGCTCCAGCCTCTCAGTGTCCCATCATTCATGATAAGTGGGAGGACCCAGCTGGTGTGCCAATCAGCGCCATTGTATTTGGTGGCAGGAGACCTACAGGTCATTATTGATAAAAATTAAAACCTGGTTCCTAGAGTAAATTATAATACTGGCATTTATGAAAAATGAGATTTTGATTGCATTGTTTTATAATTAATTTTAATTTTTGTGTGATTTTTTATGCTGCATTCATAATCTGATATGCTTTCATAGTCAACTACGGCTTGAAATATTTGAAAGAAGAAGTGAAAATAAAGCTAATAAGATAGAACTAAATGAAGATGTAGAATCTTTCAAAATTTGAAACCTTTTTAGAGCGAAAAATGTATTTATAAAAGTATCAAGCCATCTTCAATGGTAATGCTATATTTAAAAGGGAGTGTTAAAAACAAGTTTAATTTTATGACACAGGTGTTCCTCTTGTGTTTGAGGCATTCTCGTGGGAGCATGGTGTCATGGTTGGAGCTGCTGTCAAGTCGGAATCAACTGCTGCTGCTGAGTTTAAAGGTGTGTGTTTTTTTGTACCTCTAATCTTCTCAATCTATAGTTTTGTTCATTAATAGTGAAATTTCCTCTGAATGATTTAAAATTTTTTAATGAGGATTAACTTATGAAATCAATATCGAATTATTATTTATTATAACAGGCAAAAGCATTATGCATGACCCAATGGCTATGAGGCCATTCATGGGTTACAACTTTGGACATTATCTTGATCACTGGCTCAGCATGAACAAACCTGGTAGGAAGGTAAGAATTTTATAATTTTATTATTTTCTAATTTTTACATTTTTTTCCAATAGCCCTATTAATTATTTAAATTGCGTTTCATAAATATTATTGTAATTCTATGCTCAATAAATGTCCCAAAATATTTTACTAGCTGCCAAAGATCTACCACGTCAACTGGTTCCGTGTCAATGAAAAAGGTGGCGATTGTATTGTTAATGTTTACTGAATGGCATTACAGTTTGAAACGATGTTCATTTGTATACCTTATTAATATATGTTTAATAAATGTTTTCACGCTATATGTTACTATAATAATTTCAATTCATACAAGTTAGTCTTTTTTTTTGTAGGAAAGTTTTTGTGGCCTGGCTACGGCGACAACATTCGTGTGATTGATTGGATGTGCAAAAGACTGTCTGGTGAGGCAAAAGTTGTTCCGAGTCCCATTGGTAACTTGCCCGAGAAAGGTGAGACTTGTTTAGTTGCTACCAACTATTTCTTGATTTTGATCATACTATACTTGTAGTTTTCAACGCGAATACATGGCATGTAATATCATATTCTTGAATAAAAATTTGTTGTTTTCTAAATGATAGACCTCAGCAGGTAAAATCATGCAAAATAAATATAATGGTGAAACTTTCTCGAATTCATATCATATGAGATTAGCTCAGTATTTATTTTAACTCTGCTGTTGAACCATGGGATTATATGGCCTAAATAAAATATTATTAAAACTGTGTCCGATATTTTTAAAAAATTTTATCAAATTTTTCACAGGTTTTGTATATATTTGTAAAAAAATGTTTCATTAAATAAAAGCATTTTAATATTAATTAGTGACAGTGAGGATGAAATTGAAAGTGATTTTGATGATCCCTTAAGCTGGAATGATGAAACAATGAGCTTAAGGTTTTGTTTATGATGAACCAGGCTGCTTCGATGTTGTGCTTTTGCTCATAAATACGTTCATGAAGGATGTTTAAATTCAATCTGTGATTGAATTTAAACAAAATGGTAATTTTTTCATGGTTTTACAGCAAGGTTAAATAATATAATGTTGGGATAGAACACGTTGGAGCAACCGAAAACAATGCTGATTTTATGATTTATTTAGTGTGTTATGGGAAGCACAAGAAACCAACTGTGTGTTTAATCACTACTTATCTGTCTTATAGCTAAATATTTTGTTTTATTTCGTCCAAAAGGAATGAATAATCTTTCGTTATGAACTTTTGCAGTAGGAGTAATAACATCTTGTATCCAAATGATCTCAATTCACTATTGGCTAATGATTCAAACTATTTCTTATTATTGCCGTTGATTTTAAACAATTTATTTCTTGAAACGTTGTAGGGGCGATTGACATCAGTGGCATTGAAGACCAAGTTCATTGGGATGAACTCTTCAGCCTACCGAAAGATTACTGGCTTGAGGATGCGAAGGAGACCAGGCAGTTTCTCGAGGTTGAAGTAGGAGATGATCTTCCTGCAGAAATCGAGAAACAGTTGGTGGAACAAGAAAAGAGAATAGCAGCAATGTAATTGGTTGAAACCTTATAAATATATATATATATTTATATATATATATATATATATATATATATATATATATATAAACTTTTAATTAAACTTTTTTGAATGATTTGCAGTTTCTCGGCATAATTTTGTAATTATATCATCAAATTTGTTGGAGCTTATTTTTGCGAGTGATTAAATAGGTTGTTACTTTTTGCCGGCATCTTTAATTTTTATGATTTTTTTGTAGAGCATGTTTATTAACATATTAAATGTAAACGATTGTTAGTTGTTTGGACAAAATTATTTTCATTCGATCATGTTGCAACACGTTATTCTTCTCATGATTAGGTTGCTCATAAAGTTTACGTACATAAATCAACTCACTAATTTTTAATAATTTTTTTCACTAACTTTTACACTTGTACTATTTTTCACGACCGTTCAAGAATTTTTGTTTAGTATAATTCTAATGATTTCGTGAAGATAATTGTTTGTAACACAAAATGAAATGCTTTTTGCTCGTTTAAATTCTTACATCTCATTTTTTGACATTGGGTATACGACGCATGCGGTTCCATTACGTATTTTGCCCATGGATATTATATATATGTCCATGATTTTGCCTGATATGCTGAACATTTGAACAGGGTAGATGGCAGTGTAGGCAACATTTTATGATCTTGAAAATATCTGTTCAAATATAGTTTTAGTTACTAAAATAGATTGAAAATTTTATTTTAAAATAGTGAAACGTGGCTATGTGAATTTTCAAACGGTGATGGTTTTTTGGAAAAGTTTTATACGTGTGGCTGCATTTTGCTTTATATAATCATTTATTTATCTGATTTTTTCAATAGAATTTCTCTTTATTTGTTATTCCTCGAAATGTATACCGCGCTATATATGTAATACTCAAAGCAATAAGGTTCAAAAAATATTTTTGACACCAAGGTGCTTTTTAGGTGTTGACAAAATGGCAAAGTGTCATTGTACTTGAGAAACAGAATGAATTGTTTGACATTCGAAACATGTGACAACTTGACGGCGAACAACACGGCCCTTTTGCTACCTTTGACAAGTCATCGACCCTCTTAACTTTTATCAAACTTTTCTTAAACCAAATAATTGATCGATTCGAAATCACAATTAAATGAGTTTTTTTTTATTAAGAGTCAACCATTGAAAATAGAAGTTGAGCAGTGCTAATTCTGAACTTTGATCTGCTGATAATGCTTGTGTCGTTATGTTGTAGTAAAGCCGCAGCATTCCCTGATGGGGCAGTACCGATATAAAATAAAATGATAATGATGAAATAACACAGTAAGGTAATTGTGGTTCTGTGCTCTTAAAGGCTCATACGAAAGCGTATTGGTATTCTAAAACTAGTTTAATTATTATTTACACTATAACATCAATTATAATGGATGCGTAACATCGTTGCTTTTCTTGCCTCCAGTAGAGCGTACAATGGAAGAGATGCGATAGGGCAATTCTAGTTTAAACTGCGAATAATTGATTAGAAAAAGAATAATGCAAATAGTTTTATGTAAACGATAAGTTCATAGCTCAATTTCTATACTGAAATAGTAAAACCGTATTTGTGTTGCTAACTTGTCTAACGTTCGAAAAATGTTTAGCGCACAAATTGAAAATGAGTAAGTCCGCTAAAGATAAGGATGCTCAGGCTGCTCCGGCCGTGTTGGAATATTTAAACAAGCAAAATAGGCCGTACAGTGCCGTTGATGTTCAGAATAATTTGCATAATGTTTATGGAAAAACGGCCGTCGTCAAGGCGTTGGAAAGTTTAGCGGCCGATGGAAAAATAAAATCGAAAGTTTACAACAAACAAGTGGTTTTCGTTGCCGACCAGAATCAGTTGGAAGATGTCAACGATGCTGAAATGAAGCAGATGGATTTAAACATTGCACAAATATCCGAAAATATTAAGCAACTAGTTGAAGAATGTAAGACGCTGGAGTCAACCTTAGGTCAACTGAACTCTGAAATGACTACTGATGTAAAAAAAAATTTTGAATTTCAATTCATTTCCTACTAGAAATTATATAATTTAATTTTTAATGTTCTGTTGAATTATTAAATTTTAAGCTTTATTAATTAAATCTTAATTTTTTTCAAGAATTTTTATTCTTGTATTTTACATAATTTATTTTATAGTTTTATTATATTCTGTAATTTATATTGTATTTAATTGGTTGGCAGGATGCCTTGAAAATGAAGAATAAGTTAGCAAAAGAATGCAGCATTCTCAGTGATAAACTAACATCTTTAAAATCTAATACCAACTCTGTATCACCGGCAGAGCGAGAAACTATTGTAAAATCACACACTTCATTTACAAAAGAATGGAAGAAGAGAAAGCGAATGTGTAACGATATGTTGAATGCAGTACTCGAGGGATACCCAAAAAGTAAAAAGGCTTTGATAGAAGAGGCTGGAATCGAAACTGACGAAGATGTTGGAGTTAAAATATGATTTCAAATTCAATTTTGTTGTATATCTTTTTTTTTATTTTTTCACTGTTTAATTACATTTGTTAGACTGTTGCTCAGTTTTTAGCTGGTAGTTGTGGTATGCCAATGTTACATATTTTTTTTACTGTTAAATAGCAGTTAGATGATAAATAGACTGGTATTCACAAAGTTCTACAACGTTCCATATCAAATTTCATGTAACTGGTTGGTTCATTAAAGGTAAAACCACTATGCATAATTTCAATGATGCTTGACCAAAGGAAAAAACATCATAAATTTGTTTTTTTGACGTTTGTTGAAATGATTTTTTGTCTTTGTTGAAATCTGTAAGAACTACCAGGCCTGATTTCTGTCGCCACAGACTACGCTTATCGCTTGCGAATGGCGCTTGCAAAATGCTCTGGAATTAAGCATGCTGTTACTCATCTTCATCAAGCCAAACTATCAAAACGCTCTAATAATTTGGTTGTTCCAAGCGGAGGTTGCTTAAATGAAAACCATGGAAGCATTTTAATCAATAACAAGCATTCTGATTGTCATCATTTTGTAATTCATCTGAAAGATCACAAATTAGAGAGGTTTTTTCTGTTTTATTGAAAAATTCATGTTACAAACTGACAGATATTCTTTAAACATTTGCCACAAACATTAATAGGTGATGATCAACTGTTTGACTTAGGTTGATTTTAAATAAGAGATAAAATTTATTGAGAAAAATTATTGCAAACGCGAAACACCAAAAAATGAAAGTTTTGAACTAAGACCAAATTAATATTTCGCATTTATTCTTCATTTCATTGTTCACGTTAATGACCAAAAACAAATGAATATGATGATATATTATCCCGTGCCGTGTTACGTGTGTCTGCCGTCATTTGAGTTCTGACGCCCACACCTGCTGGGGCCAGCCTGTCCTGCCTTTCGGTGGCTTCTCAACCATTTTCATTGTTGCCTTTAATATTTCCTGTACGTGTAAATTTTGTGTCAATTCAACTAAAAATATATTTAGTAGGGCACGTTTTCTTCGCTATTGATGACTGAGATGTTTAAATAACAATAATGGAATATAATATAATACTATTTATTACAACAAAAATTAATACGCCAAACATAATTACGACTTGTAATTAATTTTCTTAAGATGATTGTCTATTTCATCACATCAATATATGAAGATGTAATTAAGTTTGCTACATAGCGGATCTTTATTAACATTGTTAACAGTTGATTTATCTTATTAATATTTTTCACAATGTCAACGGACAACAAAATCTTCAAAAATTTGCTAAAATATTGCTCATGCTTGTGAAAAAGAAAAAATTGAGATTGAATGACAGAGCGAAGGACGACCAACCTGAGCTTCCCTTCTTCTTTTCTCATCTCTGTTTTCATTTCTTCTTGACGATGACATGTCAGCTATGAATCCTTTTTCAGCGAGCTTAGGATCATTTTTATCCAAAACATTCATCAAAAACGCTATGTAACTTGTCGCAAGCCGCAAAGTTTTGATTTTTGATAGTTTCGTATCTGAGGGCACGTTTGGTATGCAATTTCTGAGCGCAGTAAAAGCTGCATTGATGCTGTGAGTTCTTCTCCGTTCTTTCCTGTTTGACGTGGTCGGTCTTTTTTTAACAGAATTATTAGCCTGGTTTATTGAGTCGAAAACCGCATTCGTTAGTTCGTTGAGACCGAACGATTGATTGTCAATCAGTTGATAATCGTCGTCGTCAACATTCGGATGAAAATTTTGATTGAGGTACTGTTGATGGCTGTTTTTATCAGTCGAGTAAATTTGATTGTGGTGGTACGGAAAAATGAACAAATTGTCATCTGGGTTGTTATAATTATAAAGAGAAGTAGGCGTAGCAAGATGTGGCTGAAGTAGGGACTGGAGAGATGTGGGTGGGATGAGGTTGGTTGCTTTCATGGAAAAGCTTTCACTGTATGTATCGAAGTCATTTGAAAGTTGACTTTTTGCAGTAGTAATCATGTTTGACGTGTTGTTGTTGTCGTTGTTGTTGTTGTTAGCTGCAGTTTTTGCGTTGTTGTCCAATTGATATGTATGATTTGAATTAATGACATTGGAATCTAACATCAATTTGTTATCGTTGAACAGAGTTGAAGAAACGTCAACGATGTGGTTTTGTGAAGATTTGCTGCTATCGAGATTGTCGTTATTGATGATATTTGTTGAGGTGTTGTAGTTGTAGAATCGTTGGTGAGGATATTGATTTGATGCTTGCATATAAAACTCCATTTCCGATAGAATTTAATGAGTGGTATCCTATGTTTTGCCGCCTTAACTTTAAATTTTTTGATTCATATAATTATGAAAATCCAAACAGATTGTTAAATCTCTTACTACAAATAACAACAATAACTATTAATATAACAACCGGTTTGTCAATAACTTTTTAATCGTAAACTGGTAAATATATCGCCAAAGACATGATGGAAAAAATGCTTAATCATATTTTATTGCATCTAATTATGTTGCGTTGCTTAGATTATACACAACAAATAAATTTAAAATAAAATCTTTTCTTGATTTGTATTTAAATAGGTAAGCGAATCAAGCGTTTGTTAGATCGTCTGTGCACTTCTATTTACAAACGCTTTTAACACAGGCGTTTTTATCAAAGTTCCTATGTAAGTCTGTTGTGCATCGCTTCGTACATGTTGATGGCTCTCTAAGTTAACTGCTGCATAATATGAAGAATGTTTCAAATGTGCTAACGTAAACAAAGAAACAACTCATGTATATAAACTAAACATAGAAGTAAGTAGACGGCCAAAAATTCGTCCAAGCACGCGTCTTGAAAACTTTAACGCATCATCTCTGTGCCAATGCAGTTAAACAAGGTAGAAATATTTTTCAGCCTTACTCCGTCAAAAGTAGCGTTACTTGATTTAAAAATGAAAAATAAATTTCAATAACTAAATAAATAAACTGAAATGTATTATAAAGACAAATAATCGCATACATATATTATAGTTAAGTTTACGTTATCTGTTCTGTGAGACTTACACGCTAAATCTGCCTTACATAAATTGATGACATTTAACGAGATGAAACATACCATTCTAGATTACAAAGTCCATTTTTTTGTTTCTGTGACAATTTTATATCGATATTAAATATGGCATCAGAAATTGTAGAAAACCTTAATAACACAGCGTTTTAATATTTTGTAATACATCGCCTTCGTTATGCAGTTTTCCGCATCTCGAAAGTAATGTATAAAATTAAAAATTATTTCAAACAAATGTTTGAATGATAATTATAAGAAAAACGCGTTCAATTTTCTCAACTTAATAAAACGGCATCAATAAAAGAAAGAAATATGAATAAATTGCATTATTTTCCTACTAATGTCGAATTAAATGCTGATATCTAAGAGCACGGTGTCTGGTTTTCTTCATATAAAATGCCATAGAAGTTGCACGCACTTTATTTTTGATACTCGCATATATTTAGTAGGTGGTTGGACGTCTTTGTGTGTCCCTGTTTACTTTTGTTTGTTTGTTTGTACGTACGTATGTTTGCGTCTTTATATCCGCAAATAATAATTGATGTGTAATGTGTATTTCATGAGCGTTTCTGTTTGTTCAGTGCGTGCGTGCTCGTGTAAGAGTGTAACGTTTAGAATTTTGTGTTCAATTCTAATGAAGTAAACGTTTGAATCCAAATTGTTTGTATTTGAATTTTAAATTCATAGATTAGAAACATTTTTAATTTATGATTTATTTCTATTAAAGTTATCGGGTTTCTTCAACAAAATTCTTGTTCATTCATCCAGTTACATTGTTCACCCTGCTCTAGCAATTTGATTTGGCTCTTCTGTGAGATTAGCAACTGGGAAAAATATAAAACAAGCGGGCAATTAAAGTAAAAATAGTGTGAAATAGAGAGACGGAAAACAGGAAAAGAGAGTTAGATAAAGAGAGAAAGGAGAGAAATAATTAAAAATTGAACAATAAAGTTACTCCATTTTGAAATGTTTTTGAATATTTTTTGAAAGAATACTAAGTATTTAAGCTTTCAAACATTCGCACTCAAAATTTTTATCCCACACGACATTATATCGGATCAATTTGAGACAATAACGGCAACAGCAGCTATTTATATAACAGGACGGAATGTTTCCGACGATAAGAAAGTTTTAATGATGATAATGTTGTTAACATTTGATGCTGGCAACCTAGCGTACAGAGGCCAATAAACAACGTGCTAATTTAAGCGATGTTAAATAGAGCAGTTATTCAAGTGGGAACAAACATAATTGCACGTCAGATAATTAACACTACGTTAATTGTCTAATTAACTAATAAATAATATTTGGATTACGAATTTTTAAACTTTCTATAACAGAAAATATTGGAAATTAAATAAATGTTGAGAAGCTCGTTTTAATTCCGTCTTTGTACTTCAAAAATTATTATTTATTTGCTTATTTTGCTTAATTATTCGTGGCCTCGACTCATTATAATTTTTGTATTTGATAAAACTGCTTGAAATGTTTCAAACCATGTGAAAGTTGCTCGAGAGCTTCATCGCTTTTATCTCTGAGTAATTAAATTGTTATGTTAATTAGCTGGTAGCCGGTTTATCAATTCGTCATCAATGTTTATTCGTAATAAATTATGGAAGAACGTTTATTGAGAATGTGATATATTAGTATATATATATATATATATGTTAGAAACTGTTGTGAATGTTGCATTGCCAGCCAGCTAGTAAGTCAATGAATTTTCAACGTTTATTATCATTGTGTACTTATCAGGCACGTGATTTCATGTGCCATCGTCTGATCAGAATGTCAGTCAAGCCAATGCGCGCACAACAATCACTCACAAAAAACATTTACACACTAATACAAATATACGTATCTTACACACACTCACACACAGACACACACATACAGACACAAACACACACACATACTTACAAAGCGATTAAAACACATGAACGTAAATGTTGTTAATACAAACAAACATTATCAGTGCTCACCTGAATTGTTGCAGGCACGTGTTGTAATGTAACTGTTCTCAGATAGGCTAGGTTACAATTTCAAACTGATGATAACATGCTTTTTTAGAGGTTTTTATTCGAAGTTTCTGCGTTGTTGTGTGTTGTATTGTGTGTACCTTTGTCGTGTTTGTGGTCTCATGTTTGCATGATGAGATTATCGTTTAACATACGGTAACGTACATATTAACGTAATAAGATAACCATTATTTTTACACAATGTTATGATGCGATTTGAAAATACTTAGTACAATAATTATCTAAGGAGTAGTTTTTTTTGCTAAGTTATTATGTAATGTAATTGCAGCGTTAAATTTGATAAATATGACATGATAACTAGATGATCGCGTGAAATGTTCCTCATACAAAAAAATACTAAATCGTTATCAGCGTTATCAATATAGTGCATTAATTATTGTTGGTCTGTTAACAACTCTGCTATCACGTTTCAACCAATTAAAACTTTGTTACTTTCAGCGTTGTTTTCCCTTCAAAATCCGTCATACACAAACATCTTTCGGTATATTCATTAGAAATCGTCGTGGATTTTGATTGGTCGAAGGAGTTTAAAGACTAAGCCAATGAGAACGCTTCGCTCTTTAAACTTAATATTTCGCTATTTTCAACATTTTTTTATTAGATGTTTACAAGAGGAAAAATATATACGAATGATTTTTTGAAAGAATTGTTCAAAATATGCAATCTGAATTTTACAACGTGAAACTAACAAATTATTTTTATTGGAAATAATAGAAATTAATAAGAATATATAATAAAAATCAATTAAATAATTGACAAAAGGAGAAACTAAAAATATAAATGTGAGGATAAAGACAATGTGTGTGTGTTTGTTTGTGTATGTGTGTGTTTTGCAAGAAAATTATCTCATATACTGTATACATGTTTATTTATGAAGGAATAGATGAATTGATGAAATGGAAGGATGGAGAGCTGGATTAATGGATGAATGAATTAAAATATTAATAAATGGATAGATAGATGAATGAATGCAAGATTGATGGATTAATAGATGAATAGATGGTTGGTTGTGGCTATTCGATCTCAAGTGTCATTGACGATTCAAGAAGCAACATTCAGTCACACATCTGAATTTTTTTAGTTAATTCAAATTTTCAAGGCTTGATTTTGTCGATATAAATAATTAGATACATTTATAATAATAATAATAAATATACAAATAAACATACGAAGCACTTAGAACTTTGTTGAAAATGTTTGAAAAAATCCTAGATATAATAGCGATACAACAGTAGTCATAACAACAACAACAACAACAACAACAACAACAACAACAACAACAATAACATAAACGAATAAACAAGATAAAGTATGAGCACACTAATTTGATTTTGATGGTCTGTTTATCGGAGCTCGTAATATTTCCATTGCCTGCACAACATTCATGCGGCAACAACACAGTCAATTAGGCTTGGCACACACACACACACACACACACAAACACGCACACACACAAACACACTTATACACACACACACACACACACACACACACACACACACACACACACACACACACATTGAATAAGTAGTCGACATAATTGTCTTGTTGTTATTGCGCTGCTGCTGGTTATGTGCACGTGTTTATAAACAACAACACTGAGATGCCTTAGTGTGTGTAGTTGTATGTGTGTTCTAGGTATGCGATTATAGTAAGTATTCTTTTGACAGTTTTTATCTAAGCTTCCAGACGCACTGCATAGGGCGCTATACAAATGACACATTAGTTTTTTAATTATTATTATTGTACAATAATAATTATAATGATGATGGCTGTTGTTATTATTAATGCCGCTCTATTTGATTTTATTATTAATAATTATTTTATTGCTATTATTAACATTATTATATTACAATCAA